GACCTAACAAATAATCAAACCAATTTCCCCAAGTCGAGTCTGTTTTGAACCAGACAGTAATCTCTCCATTTCCTTATTTCAACCAATGAGCCTTTTGCTGCATTTTTTTCTCCCTGTCCAGTTGAAGAGGGGAGTGACAGAGCGGGATTGGTGGGTACCTAGCATCCAGGCCCAGTGTTTTCAAATGGCAAAAAAAATAGGGAATGGACAACTCGGGAAAACGTGTGCATCTTCATCACTGTGAAACTGTTCTTCATAAAATTCTACCTGCAAAGGAGCTTCTTACAAACCAAATAAAAATAAGCTGTTGGTAATCAAAAGTGGATAGAAGCAATCCCCCTCAAAAGACAGAAGAACAACAGAAGAACAAAGCTGACACAAAGACAACTTGCCACACTTGTTACAGCTCCAAAGCTGAGGTTCAGCTGAGGCTGAATCTCAATAATGAACATTTATTCATTGAAGGACAAGGCTATTTTGAGAAATATACCTATACTGAGACAAGGGACATGAAGTTGAAGTAGACGGCTTTGGTAACATCCGTGCTTCCCTACTTTGCTGCCCTGTAACCAAAATAAATACCATACAAATGAAAAGAAACCTTTATATCTGTAAATCTTTTTGACCTGAATGCTAGTTTACAAACATGGTAGGTATCATAACTATTGCACTACTGAAGGCAAGATGCACATTGACGTTTCCAGCAAGCTTTCAGATTCATTAAAATGAAAAGTCTCAAACTTTATAGTGGCTTGAGTTGGCAGAAATAAATACTTTAGAGATATTTTGGGTTTGCAGTGTTAAACAGATGAAGTACTCTTGGTGACTATATGTCGGTGTACCCTATGCACTTCTCTAATTCCTTAGTGGGATTTTCTTACAATATATTTCATGTTTCTGCATTAAGGACACTACAGAATCACACAGTTTCAACTGTAACTAGATATTAGTAAGAATTCCTAAATATATATGTAAATTATGTTTTCTGCTTCCAGATGAGAGGAATATTGCCCATAAAACAAAACATTAGGGCTGGAGTAGGTAAAAGTAACTAGAGGACAAATGGTTCTATACAATTAAATTAGAATAAAACTGGTACCTATACTACTAATAACCACCTTCTTCCGTGTTGTACTTCTTCACTGAAGCCCACAAACAGTCATGACTATTGACAGCGCAAGCATGAGTCTACCTTGGGAATTTTCAGATACAGATTTAAAAAGAAAGAAAATACAACTTTCATTAGGAAATCTCTGCTCTACTTAATATGGTGGAAGCACAATTGTTTCATGTTACGTTTTCTGGATGCAAAAATAGGCTTGCTGCTATCAATCCCCAAGACGAATCAGTCTCACCTCTGTGCCTGGCAAAATCTTGGAGCAGATTCTCCCGGAAGGCATGCTAAGGCACATGAAAAACAGAAAGATGCTTGGTAACAGCCAGTATGGCTTCACGAAGGGGAAATCCTGACTGACCAATTTGGTGGCCCTCTATGATGGGGCTATGGAACTGATGAACATGGGCAAAGCAGCTGACGCCATCTACTCGGATTTGTGCAAAGTGTTGGACACTGTCCCGCATGACATCCTTGTCTCTAAATCGGAGAGACATCAATTTGATAGGTGGACCACTCAGTGGATAAAGAACTGGCTGGATGGCTGCATGCAATGGCTCAGTCTCCAGCTGGAGACCAGTAACGAGTGGTGTCCCTCAGGGATCAGTGTTGGGACCAGTCTTGTTCAACACCATTGTTGGTGACATGGACAGTGGGATTGAGTGCACCCTCAGTAAGTTTGCTGATGACACCAAGCTGTGTGGTTCGGTTGTGTCGTGGTTTAAACTCCCACCAACGCTGGAGGGAAGGAATGCATCCAGAAGGCCCTTGAGGTTGTAAGGAGGGCCGATGCCAACCTCATGAAGTTTAACCATGCCAAGTGCAAGGTCCTACAAATGGGTCAGAACACTCCCAGGCACAGCTACAGGTTGGGCAGAGAAGAGATTCAGAGCAGCCCTGCGGAGAAGGACCTGGGGGTGTTGGTTGATGAGAAAATGAACATGAGCCAGCTTCAGTGTGCGCTCACAGCCCAGAAAGCCAACCGTATCCTGGGCTGCATCAAAAGGAGCGTGACCAGCAGGTTGAAGGAGGTGATCCTGCCCCTCTACTCTGCTCTCCTGAGACCTCACCTGGAGTATTGTGTGCAGTTCTGGTGTCCTCAACATAAAAAGGACATGGAACTGTTGGAACAAGTCCAGAGGAGGCCACGAGGATGATCAGGGGACTGGAGCACCTCCCGTATGAAGACAGGCTGAGAAAGTTGGGGCTGTTCAGCCTGGAGAAGAGAAGGCTGCGTGGAGACCTCATAGCAGCCTTCCAGTATCTGAAGGGGGCCTACAAGGATGCTGGGGAGGAACTCTTCATTAGGGACTGTAGTGATAGGACAAGGGGTAACGGGTTCAAACTTAAATAGGGGAAGTTTAGATTTGCTATAAGGAGGAAATTCTTTACTGTGAGGGTGGTGAGGTACTGGAATGGGTTGTCCAATGAAGTTGTGAATGCTTCATCCTTGGAGGTGTTCAAGGGCAGGCTGGACAAAGCCTTGGGTGACATGGTTTAGTGTGAGGTGTCCCTGCCCATGGCAGGGGGGTTGGAACTAGATGATCTTAAGGAACTAGATGAGTTAAGGTCCTTTCCAACCCTAACTATTCTATGATTCCATGGTTCTATGACACCAAATGACGATATGATATCATTCTGTGGAGAAGTATTTTCAAAGCCTTAAAGCACAACAGGAGCATACAGAGCACAGAAAAGAAAAAGAAATCTATGGGAAAAATTCTATTTGTTTCTATCGCATAAAGACTTAAAATACATGTTTGAAATCCTCAGCTCAAGCTTCATTTAACCATGTTCTGAAACGTGGTTGTGCACAAGCTTGCCACAGTGTATCCTGCTTTCTTAAACAGAACTTTTTGCTCAACTGCAACTTACCCTAATTTCTGCCCACTTCTTTTTTTCGCAATAAACAAAATTGATACCCTCCTGCCATCTAGTGGCCACAAACCCCCCGAACCAAACACCACCGGCGGATGTTCATTCAAAACTGACTTCAACTCCTTTCCCCACCACCACTAACTAAATACTATCACTTTTTCAAAGCAAAGGAAATACGTACAAGTTAATTCCCCTTAACTGTGGTGCAGCCAAAAGAACCTATCCGCTCCGTGGCTTGTTCTGAGCCTCGTGGCCTCGATGCTAAAGCAGGCCCACACTCTTCTGAGAGAAATGTGCTGCAGTGAATAAGATTCTCACCTATTTCTACTTACTGCTCTCGCAAGATGAATCTCCAGTCACATCCAGAGAATGGTAATTCACCATTTCAAAGCCTTGAAGAAAGACCAGCAGTTTCCGCTAGCTTCCAATTCTGAGCTGTGAAGCTGGTAGAAACTGCTGGCCTTTCTGCGAGGGCTTCAATTTAGTTTCTCACTGCTCTGGGTTTCTTTTTTAATACAAAACCTAAGCTGAATCTTCTCAGTTACCTCATATTTCATCTAAACAATTTTTTACTTCTAAAGAAAAATGTTTCAAACTTATCTTCAAGGAGTTCCCAAAAGATGAATGCCTCAAACTGATGATGCACAGTCAAATTATTTGGAAAATGTCTTACAGAAAAAAGCGATAGAAAAGCTGATTATTGCCTTTCCTTCAGGAATGATTAACTTTGAGCTGCCTAATTTAATAGCAGTATTAGCATATCACCTCTTATAAAGAAGACCAATTCAGATATTGAAACACACATTTTATAGTTTAAAAAGAATCTTTTGAAAAATGTTTGGCAAGATTTAAAACCAAACATACATTATGTATTTTGCATGACATAAATCTGCTAGAATTAATAATACACACACACATCATAAAACATATTTAAGGAATGAGAAAATTAGAGAAAGCAAAGTGGCTTGCTTAACAGCACATCAAAAGTCTTCTAACACTAAAGCATCTTCACTTCTTGCAGATTTGTTACCCCTATTAGACTCACATAATAAGCAGCAAAAATGAAATTATATTCTCCATGTACTTTCTCTAACTCATACTGTTTACTTGAATGTGCATGTCCAGTAGCGATAAAAATCAAAACCTCTTTGTAAATACCACAGTCTTTGTAGTAAATGCCTCTAATAAAATCCTTCTAAATCTATGAAGTTCACAGTGTTAAGTAGTAACTTCATAGAATCATAGAATCACAGAATGATCTGGGTTGGAAAGGAACTTAAAGACCATTTAGCTCCAACTCCCCTGCCACAGGCAGGGACACCTTCCACTAGAGCAGGTTGCTCCAAGCCCCATCCAGCCTGTCCCTGAACACCGCCAGGGCTGGGGCATTTCCTCACATTCAATAGTATTTGTACAATCTGCACTTTCATTCTTCATCTTCTTCATTTTCAGTCACATTTATCTAGCATTTTCAGGAGTACAGACAAGCAGTACATAATTTTTGCTTCCTATACAATTAATGAAAAAAAGCTTATACTTCAGTGAGATGACTATGTTTTAAAATAAAAGGCTTTTTAATTTATTCTGTAATGGGTTGCATCTCTAGACTCTGTGAGGCTTCTTTGTGCTACAACCTAGATGGCATATCCAGGCTTTAAACTAACTTAAATAGTCAGCAGGGGATTCCAGTGTGCAGGAGATGAGCTGAGCTGAATGCAGTAAAATAGATAATTAATGGCATATTTAATTCCCAGCTCCACCAAAGGGCAGTGTTTAAGATGAGGGACCATAATTGACGCTAAATGAACTAAGTGATCTCTTGACTACCAAATAAAGCTTATGGGAGATACCATAAGGTACAGATCTATACATTAAACCTACATAGTATAAACCATCTCCCTATCTAAACCACTGATGACATTGTGGACATGGCAAACTGTACACCAAAATCCCACTGAGGGGTAGCACGACAGCTGATATAATAACAGGAATTAATGCAGTAACTTACTTTGCAAAAAGTGAGAATCTGCTACTTCTGTCTGGCCTTGCATCAACTACATCTTCACGAACTTCATCACCTCCATCTTCTATAGAGTGATCAACATGCTGATTCCCCGACATCTACAGATAAAAGTACAGATTTCTGACCCTGTATTAACATGACATTGCACATGCCTAGCTGCCTGCTTATGGTTACCAAAAGTAATTTCTCTCACACATACCACTCTCAAAAATGCAGGTAAGAACAAAAGTAAAAACGATTTTATGGTAAAAGATCTTATGACTAACTCCCAGGGAATTTTTCGGTGGTCTGGAAAGAACTATGCTGGGAAGAAAGCAAAGACAACTAACAACAAAATAGTTGTAACTGCAATTCTACCTAGTACTAAGACATCCAGAGAGCTCCTGTTGTTTCATTTGCACACAGTCAAATGCGTGTAAGAGAAAAAGCCCTGTATTATCCTCTCTGGATGGAATCTTAGGTTTTCATTTCTCTGTTTTATGTATACCAACACTAAATGATTAGTTAATACATGTGTAGACCTGTTAGGCAGAAAAAAAGTTGTGTTTCTTGGGAATTAAAAGGTATTTTCATTACATAAAGCATTCTTACACAACTTGCTATATTTCAACCAGTGGGGACTTTCTGACTGTTACTCCAGTAAGTCTGGAACATCTTCACTCATCTCAAAAGCAACACAGGGCACTGCTAAACAAGGCTAAGCTGGCCTAATGACTTCTTCCTGATGAAAAAAACAGTCCGTTTCCTCTTCTTCCATGTATTCTGTTGCCCACTGAGGAAGTATATTTAGATCACTGACCCAGCAGAGAAGTACAAGAAGAAAGGAATTATTTCTCTGATGGGGGCAATGATCTGCACCAGCTCAGACTGGGTGAGAAGGCAGTATGGGACCTCATGCACATGGTGGGACGTGCTGAGCCACCTTGTCCAACTCCAGCTTTGGGCTTCAGGAAGAAAAGCAGCAGTGATTTCTGCCTCTTCCCCATACTTAGGCAGATTAAAATTGCCTTATAATTTATTTACTCAGAAGAGTTTACATCTAGCTTGAAAACCATCCTGCTGACCCTGCCAGGCCCAGCTGCTACATGGCTGCCAGCACCACCCCAGCCAGGCTCTGCACCATTAATGGAGGTTCCCGAGAGTAACAGCAGTTCCCAAAAGCTGGGATCTAGATTCTGCTTTGTCAAACTAATGCGCTTTTTTTATCCTCTTTTAAAATATAAGAATCAAGGAGCTCACAGGCCGCAGGTGGGCAGTGAAGCAGCCGAGAAGCACGGGTGGCTGCCTCAGGATAGCAGTCCCAAACCAGGGCGGGCGAGCGCAGGACGCCAGCTCCTCCAACTACCAACTACACACATCCCAGCTCCCACCGCGAGTACTCCTACCCCCGGTCAGGAAACAGCGGTGTAGGCACCGCGGCCACCTGAAGGGCCCAAGTGTGTGGTGCTGAGGGAGAGCCCCTTCCTCCCACCCCTACCTCCGCACCTGGGCGCCAAAGAACGGGGAGCAGCGGGCCCCAAAGAACGGGGAGCAGCGGGCCCCAAAGAACGGGGAGCAGCGGGCCCCAAAGAACGGGGAGCAGCGGGCCCCAAAGAACGGGGAGCAGCGGGCTCCGAGGCTGCGCAGCAGGGGCCAGGAGCGGAACAGGCGCCGGGCAGCGGGAGGGCGGCTGAAGGGAAGGCGGGAAGGCGGCAGGCCGGGCCGGGGGCGCAGGGGAGCCGAGCGGGGTGCCTGAGGCGAGCAGGGAGCGCGGCCGGCGGATCGCGGAGGGGCAGGCGGCTGGGAAAGGGCCGGGGCTTGCCTTGGCGCGGGCGTCCGGCGAGGCAGAGGGGAATCGAAAGTGGCGTGGTCGCTCCCCGCAAGCCGGCAGTGGGGCGAGTTCTGCCGGCCCGGGCCTGCCCCAAAAGAGCCGCGTCTTCCGCCCACTAGTGGCCGGGGGGGCGCTGCGGGCTGGCCAGTGGGCAGGTGGGGAGGGTGCCCCGGCCCTCCTCGCTCTGCTGGTAATGATGGCTTCATCACAGCAGAAAGGAAATTGCCCTTTTCTAATGTCTGTGCTCTGTCACACCTCCGCCAAAGAAGCGCCTTAAGTTTCATGGTGACACGAGATTGTCTGGATCTAAGGAAATCTTTTTCCTTCTATAAGCTTCTGTGGCATTTCCTTATCTTTCCAATTATTCAGTGTGTTGCATCTCTGCTAATGACGATCTCCTACTGCGCAGCTGTTGCATCAGGCCCAGCAGTCCAGTACATGGACAGCAGATTGGCACAGTCTTGCTAATTACTTCTGGATGCGGGCTCCAATCCTGCAAAATCATACACCTACCCAGCAGTGTGTGGTGTTTAACATTCACTACCTGAAGAGATTTACATCAAAGCGACATTTTCCAGTGTAACTGCCTCGTAATTGGCACAAAACACAGGCATGGTAACAGCCTTTTGCTTCACAACCGGTCACTGCTCCAATGTGATGGAGGAGCGTCTGACCGGCACAGTGGCCCTTACTGTGTGTCTGCATGCTGGGGATGGTGTCTGCTTCATGGGGTTATGCCTGTAGCTCCTGGTTTGAGATGTAGCCAAAGTTTTCTTCTGAAAATCGAACTAACAAAAAAACAAAAATCCCATAGTTCCCGCATGCCATCTGTTAGCTGCTTCTTTTCAAGGTTTCCAAAGCCATAATGTATGGTAATGGGCAACAGAGACACTAGAAATGTATAGATCTTCAAGTAAATGCGTGAGAGATGGAGACCGCCATCCCCAGCAAGGACTGGCAGTGTCACCAGAACTTCAGAACATCCAATTGTGCTTTCCTGATGGTGCGTATGGGGTATTACCTAGGAAATTCTGAAGCTATTTGCCAGCTGTGACCTTTTATATCTTGATGAAAATCTTTATCCATTGCCATCTGGCCCCCACAGCTGAATTAGCAGACCTAGAAATGGCTTTTTCTAGAAGTAATTGTATTCCTATTGAAAAAGTGGTATCTGCTAATGCTTGCCAGTTTTTGAGAGTTTACTCGTTGAACTGTGCATGGGGAATTTCTTACTCAAACTGTTGATGAGCCCCTGTTTCTATTTGCTTTTCATGTTGGTTGCTGGCATTCACAAAGAAAGGTTGATTCCTCAGTGTTCTGTGATAGCTTTCTTAACTACATGCTACGTTAAACAATTTTAATGGAGTATAAGGTGCTAGATCTTTCAGAAAACCTTGCTTGTTTTCAGTGATGAGTAAGGGAGAAATTAAAAGGATAGTAGAAGGAAGTATCTTGCTTCAGGCATAGAGTGATTGCTACCTGGGGAAGGGTCAGGAAGGAAAAAAGTTCTGATGTATAATACTGAACAGCTGGCTGTATGCATTGCTGGGCAGGGGGAAGAACCAGTAATGTAATACCTATAGCATCAGCATGCCTTTTCTTATCCCTGGAGATGCACTCTACTCCCTAAAAACATTAATAATGAAGCGTTTGACTGGATATTTGCATTGTAGAAAATAAGTGTTTAACTACCACCTAAGCAGCTGCCGGATGACAATGGAGCATGCCACTGGGAAATTGGAAGGTAGAAGGCAGGTACAAATTAGAAGGCTTGAGGCAAGTAAATAGTACCTGTCTGGAATAATAACTGTGTGCTGTGTTCTGCACAGCATCTGTGAAAACAAGGATGGGGTTCTGCTGAGGCCTGGGAGTCAAGTGTGGGGATACTTGAGCAACTCCTTCCTAAATGGCAGTTTTTACAATTTGATATATTTTTCAAGAAAGGATGAATGGTTTTGATATGGTGTGGGAATATGGAGGCTGTGGGGTGTGATTTGGCACAGCACAACTGTATGAAATTCAGTAGAATAATGCAACTCAGCTTGGTGTGTGTGTTCGGGCAGGATCTGTCTGTAATCAGGCAGAGGTGATCTGTTGCACATGCCATGTTTTATGAGTTTTAAGCCTGAATCGTTTTTAGCTTGTGATACATGATAAATGGGCATATTTGGACACTGGAGGTCTCATAGTATACACATAGACTGTGCTATGCATGCTTTGCACACATTTCTTCAAGCTTTCAGCTGAAGCTGTAGCACATCCTCACTAGTTCTTTCTCTGCTCTATAACAGTGATGCCACCTTAGCCTGTTGGTTCTTTTTTCCATTTCTCTCTATTTGCTCTCACTTTCTCTTGCTCTATTAGAAGCATTTGCAAACCCCCCACAACTCTAAAGTCTTCCTCACCTTGAAAGTGTAAGCACAAATCCTTTTGTTCATGAAATGTAAACAGCTATTGGTTTACGCAAAAATGTGTAAAGCTATGGTACAAGTTTGGAAGGCAGTCCATTAGAGGTTCCTCTTTAAGCCTTCGGAGATCCTGGTGTTGATAAATCTTTTCCACCTTTCTTTCTGTATTTTTGAAAGCTGGATTTGCTGCTATGCCTGATTTGATCAGCGTGGAGAAGCTGAATGAGACGAAAGGCCTTACTCCAGATAAGTAATTAACCAAGGGGTTAGGAGAAGGTTGTGACGAGGCTGGTCTTGTGTTTGAACTCTTGCAGGCAGCTTTTGACAGTGAGTAACACCCCCAGTTTTTGTAGGGATACAGCACCTTTTTGTCTGCAAAGAGAGGGAAGATAGGGTTGCCATAATTTGTGATATCTGGTTCCCAATATTCAGGGGCTGGAAGGGCACAGCCGCTATTCAGGAGTGACAGAGAAGGTGGCCCTGGCTTGAATGTCTGGTAAGAGGTTACTTTGTGTAACTAATGTCTGCTTTTTATATTCAGATTCAGGATGGAAACATGCTTCTATGCAGTTAATTCAATGAATTTAAGGAGGTTGGAGAGGTAACAATCTTTCTTTCTACTAATTTGCACTTTCAAGGTACTGTCTCCTTGTACTTTACTCATAACTGCAGTACTTTTAAACCACATTGATTAAGGTTCTACTGTTAAATAAAGCCTTTCAAGATTTTCATTGATATCAAAAAGCCTTTATGGGGCCTTACTAAAGGAGGAAAAAAGCCACAGTGAGCTTTTAACTGAAGAGAAAATGTCTTGCTAAGGTTTGTCAAGATAACAAACTTGTGCTGGTTTTGTGATTTAATTCCTTGCATGATCAAAATGCAGTATCTACTTTGTAATGAAAGAATACAATACTTGTTTTTCAATAAACTCTCTTTTCTGTTAGCAGCTCAGTTTTAATCCAGGATGGTGAAGAGCAGACCATGCAACAGGACAGGTGTGAGGAGCTCAGAAATGGGGAAATCTTCAATAGACTTCAGCAGAACCAGTGCACAATGGATGTGAGGGAAGTAGCATGATTGGGAAAGACAATAACTGTACAGGGCTTGTGGCTTTACTGAACTTCTCTTCTTGAACATAGTTTAACTTAGGAGAAGCAGGAGAACTTGGAAAATATGTTTGCTGACTTCCAGCCAAGCTGGTAATATATGTTGCTGAAAAGAAATAAACAGACTTTGTATATCTTGAAATGAAGCAAGTTTTATCTGTGACATAACGGGTTTCTGGGTGTCTCACAGGCCTCTTCTCAGGGACTTCTGGTATGCTCTGCAGGTGCACAGTGCATATGGGCTATATACATTGATGCTCCAGGCTGGAGTCCTGTCCAGGTAATTGGTGTTCAGGTAACTTCTGGATGAATGATTTGTTCCCTAGTTGCCAAGTCTTTGTTTTTTTGTGTAGTTCAGGGATGTCCTGCTTTCAGCACCTCTCAGAACTCATTCCAGGAGTGCCTCTCAAGCAATGTAATGTCTCTGCTAGGACAGGAGCAGGTCATGCATCTTTTTTCTTGCCAAAGTTTGAGACAAGGGCTCAGATAGACATGGGTTCAGATAGCATGAAGGTGACTAGGACTGTCTAGAAAATAAACAATATGGTGACTCTTGGAGTAGATGAATACGAGGAAGCAGCAGCTGGTATTGTGCCCACTTTTAAATAAGGAGGAGATAGCCTGGCCACTGTGACCCTAACACAGGTCACTTGCATAAACAGAATGGAAATCTGGGATAACATGGAAAGCTGTGTGAGAAAGGAACTGGAAGACTTCCAAACTATTTTGGAAAATATTGTTGTGATGTAACTTGGTCAACATAATATTGCTCCTGATCCCAAAAGGAATAACACAAGGCAACTCAGCAGTTAATTTAATACAAGAAAGTGTGTCCTGTGAATATTTTTTAGTTTAATGAAAATACTTCTGTTTCTATACTGATATTAATTACTTACTTTGAAAGGACTCCAGTGTTTTCAGGACTTTTTGCCATACCCGTTGCTCTTCAGATTAGAGACTCTATTTTCAGCACACCAGTTGCCGACAATGTGTTGTGCCAGTACATTGTCAGCATTCACTAAAAGAAGTAATAATAAGTTAAGCTGCATATCTCTGTGGAGAGATGAATAGGAGGCTCTCTAAGCATACCCAGAAGGTTTAGACAAAAAATATTTCCATAGAACTGTTTGTAATTTATAGAAAAGATAAGTGCTTAGCAATATCCCAGGACTGCTGCAGGCACGGGAAGTTATTCAGATGCATGGATGACTAAGTAGACTTTTGCTTGGATTGAGATCACTCTTAGCTGTGTCCCAGGGTTATGGAGCCCTCCAGGTGTTGTGATTAGGTAAGATGTAAATATCAAATCTGAACCAAATATCTGGTAGATTTTACAGCTTTTTTTGTTCAGAGCAGACTTTACAAACCTAATAACTTGCTTGAATACTACTATCAGGCATTATAATTTCTTATCATTATTTGACTAAGGAAGTTTTATATTCCTATGCCAGCCTGCTCTTTGTGAACACTGTTAAACTGCTGCTTTGTTCATTCTATTCAAAAGTAAGTGGCTCTTTTCTGAAGTTTTTCCTGTAGGAGACAGATGTTTGGATTTGTACCCATCATGTTTAGAACTCTGTGATAAGAGGCCCTGTCCATTTCACTATGCATCCTCTTACATGTGAAGATGAAGTGATAGGTTGATGAAACAGAAAAACATGAGAAATGAGTGTGCTCTGCTCTGCTGCCTGAAACATACAAGGTGAATATGAGCTGGCACCAAGGGAAATAAAACAATGAGTTGGCTGGCACAATGGCTGTGTACTACTTCTAGATCCAGCAAAGGGCCAGGAAGTTCCAAACCCATCTCTGGCCTGTGTCTCTGGTGTTACCTGCTCCTAATATGAGGCTGTTCCTAAACACAGACTAGTCCTCCATGAGGTCACTTGCTGTGTATCAGGGTGAGGAGAGACTATCATAAATTGCTGCTGCTGCTGTATAGACTTTTCTCTTCATCCTGGGCTTATGACAACGGACTTTACAGCAAAACTGAAATACTAGATGATCAGACTCTGTCGTTCACATGGACGTGATTCGTTTCTGTGAGTTCATTCTTCTATTTAGAGAAAGACCCTGCTACCCTCCCTTACGCACTGACACAGTTGCCAAAATAACCGCTCTTACTAACTGGCAGCTTTAAAAGCCAGCCTGCAGCTGACTTTGAAACAGAAGGTCAGCAAACGGAGCAACAGACTTCAATTCAGAGCTTTAATGGGAGCCATTGACCACAGCAAAAGGCCCTGACTGGAGTGTCTAGAGTGTGCTTTGCACAGGCCAAAAAGTCACTTTCATACTCTTTGAACCTTTTGTATAAACCTATATATTTTTCACTCTCTGGATTTCAAGATGAATGTGCAGCCGTGTGCTAGATGTGGCTATGGGGTTTACCCTGCTGAGAAGATTAACTGTATAGATCAGGTCAGTTCTTTTCTTTATTATTTTGGACTATAATAAATGCTCAGATTGGCACTTTTAACACAGTGCAAATCTCTTGGTTTTAAAAGTTCTTTACTCATGACTGGGTTCAGAGCTGAGTTAATAATAAGCATATATTTGAAGAAACATTAAATGAATGTTAAGGATCAATACTGAGATTTAAAACTCAACAGAATAATAATGAAATACAAATCACGTTTGTTTGATTTCTGTTTTGTGGTATTTACAGACATGGCACAAAGCCTGTTTTCACTGTGAAATATGCAAGATGATGTTAACAGTAAACAACTTTGTTAGCCATGAGAAAAAGCCTTACTGTCAAGCGTAAGTGTATTTCCTTTTCTCTTTTTTAAAGCAAAGATTTTAAATGTCAAGTCATTTTAATGTAATAGAAGATCACCATTTGGACTCAGCCTGGTCCCATGTGTGGTATGGAATTATGTCTTGTTAGTGCCTTTGTGCATATCTTTGGATTTTGTGAATCACAAATGATGGGAAACTCTTGTTACTGGATATAAAGCTTTTTCATTTGCCCAGTGTGTTATAAAATACCAAATTAAATTCCATTTCAGTATTGTGGGAAGAAAATAAACCCAACTATAACATTCAGTGCTTTCCAAATCAGCGGTTAAGAGTTAACAGAGTTCAGCTCTCATCAGGAAAATGTATAAAAAAATGCAGATTTTGGAGTTGGTTGGTTCTAGGAAGTTTTTATTTTATAATGATCAATTCCTGTCAAATTTGTCAGCAGAAAAAAGGAGAGATGACAGTTGTTTTTTATTCTATTATTCTCTTTTGTTATTAGAAACACAGCATTGATATGACGATCATTAAAATTAATTTTGCTCTAGGCACCTACTCTATGCAATAATAACTTAGATGTAATCTGAGATGTACGTATGAGTGGGGGGAAAGTTATGTATAGGGGGTGGAGGCTGGTATTGTGTTTTTGAGTGCTCAGAGAGAACCTTTCTGGTGCGCTGTCTCGTACATTCCTGATCTCCTTTTACACTTTCTTTTTTTAGGCATAATCCAAAAAACAATGCATTCACAAGTGTATTTGAATCACCAATAAATACGAATGCCAAAAAGCTGTCAGAAGTGGTAAATGAGGTAAGAAGCTTGAGGGCCAAGAGTATTTAGCTTTGTTTTACATTTTGATATCGCATACCTGTCTTGTTTCAGAAATATAAACATGTATTCTTTACTTACCTTGCTCTATTCTTTTAAAACAGTAAGATCTCAACCCAGGTTTGAATCATCATGTTTTTCAATGCCTTCACTCATGAGAAAGGTTAGATCTGAATTTGCTTCCACTTTCAGAAAGGAAACTGAATAACAGTTTCTCACCTGCCATATCTGATAATCTACACGGAAGCATTGTTCACATAAACTGCACAGAGCTAAGTAAACCGAGTAACTAAATGTAAACTCAGTAACTCAATCAGGGGGGTTTACACTGTAATTGGACACAAGAATGACCAACTTGCTTTATAATCTCTTCTGAAACTGATGCTTCAGGTACTGAAACAGAAAATAAATTCTGTCTCAGTGGGACGTAGGCAAAAGTTCTCCTAAATACTTTGTCAGGTATTTCTGGCAAACTTGAGATAAGAAAACACCCAAGTCCAGGGACCTTTGCATGGTTCTACTGGAAACGTTTTGCTGAAGAGTTGGGGATGGAGCCGCTTTCCCAGCACTTTTAACTGCATCTGTCCTCTCAAAGGCTGCTGTGGCCCGGCAGACCTCTAGGGGTGCTCAAAGTCTTCTTTCTGTTCAGATGCCATTCTTTTCTGCCTTGCATTGTTTTCCTCCGGTTAAATTTGTTTCAAACTTACATTTCTTAGATTTTCATGGAATGAGAAATACAGAGGCAGCCAATAATTGATAGCTGTCTCGCTTCTGTGTGTAATACTAGTTTCTTGAATGTCATGTCTCTCTAATAGTCCTATTAATGGCATGACTAGTAGGCAAACCAATGTGTTTTGATATGATTAGCCATATTAAAACAGAAGAAGAAAGTTGCATTTCTTAGATTACAGCATGCTGAATTCTGATTCTGTATCAGCTGTAGAAACTTGATGTACACTAATAGCCTTTATCAGACTCTACCTGCTTTCATTCTTGTATTCTTATGCATCAGTTTTTGCAGTATCATGGGCAGCAGCTATTTCAACAGTGACTATCGCACTTACTTTAAACTGTGTGTGACAGATCTGCTCAGGAATGAGTCTGGGATTACTTCAGGTTCTATTTCTGGTTTTAGGCAGTGCTATGAGACTCTGATACTTCCAGTGCATGTGAATATACACGCCAGACAAATTATAGCTCAAAGATCACTTTCCCTTATTTTTTACACCTAAAGCACCTTCTGTCCTTTTCAATCACATAATGAGGTTCTGCTCCAGAGATAAAATTGCTAAGGGTAGTAAAGGAGCTGATTCTGCAGTACTTACTTAAAGGGAGTACTTCTATAGAAATTCTGAGTGCAGGAAAACTTTTTCATTGGCAAATGTGTAAAATAATCCTAACTTGGGAAAAAGTTGGGGGGGGGGGGAAGGGAAGTGCGGGTCAAATATATTATTCCTAACATTAATGTTCTCACCTGAGTCTTATGTGGAGACACTGACTTGAATGCAGACATAAAAATTCAGCTTGCTCCCTCTACACAGAATTTCTGTGTGAGCAGACAAATGTGAGGAGATTCATCTCTCTGTACCTCTGTACTTCGTTTAAAAATGGGAATAATGTTACACGTGCTCAATGATTTTTCTGTCCAGTCAGTTTAGATTTTGCACTCTTCAAGACAGGGACTGCTATTTTTTGCCTCTGTAGAGTGAGCTGTATAACAGAGATGTGATTTCAGTTGGATTTCTGTATGCTGTCATGATAAAAGTAGCAGTAGGAAAATGATGACCCAGGACTAAATATAGTAGTCATTTACATTTACACAGTCATGATACTTTGTGGACACTGTGCAGGGAAATAAGAGATTAGAATATTGCCTGACAGGTAATACTTCTTTCATGTAATGCTACATTGATATGTTCTGCTTAAAATTTCTTAGGGATTTCAATCCTTATAGATTATTTCCCCCCGAATTATTATCTAAAGACTGAAGTACTCTTTCAGAGCTTCATGCCAGATTTCAGGTGTAATATGCTGCTCTTTTACAGATGTGCAGCTCCAATAATAGTAGGAATCTTAGAAGTTGGGTGTGGATTAGTTTTGATCTTAGGGCTAAATGCAGTCTTCTCTTCTGTGAAAACTCCTTTGCCAAGAATAGGTGGCATGGAGGAAGTACTTTAGTAGTCTTTGCATGGCATAGGGCTGCAGGCTATGCAGCCTTTTTGTATATAACCAGGATGTAAGTGGTGTTGATCTAAAGAGGGAGAAGGTGGAAAAGATGGAGAATTTTGCAAGCTCTCAGAAGATGGTTGGTATTTTCTTGTGGGCTCTGAAGATTTGGTTGATAGGTGTGCTTGTCATAGACCCTTGGTTTCTGCATCAATATTGTATAAAAATGTATCCTCAGGGTGAAATTAGTAGTTGGCATAGAGGCTGCTCTGTAGCATTTGGAGATTGAACACACAGACACAGGTAAACATTGTGACTAGAGTAAATCATCTTAAACTGTGTTGATGCTGCCACCCAGGATGTTAGTTCTGTGCAGTCACATTGTTCCTCTGCTTCTCTTCTGTTGATGTTGGAGATTTTTGCAGTGAGGCAAACGAAGGAACTGACATTGCTGAAAGGTAACACAGCAAAAGTCTATTTACTAATTCTCTGAGCTGATTTGTCCCACAGCTGCCTATTTGATGGTGTCAGTGTGTGATAGACAAGGGTTGTCAAGTAGGTCTGAGGAGTTTTGGAAGTAGCCTTCCTTTAGACTGATTTAAGGTGCAGTGAAAACTAGCAGGTACTGAAATGATTTTGTTGTGGTGGGAATTGCACTGTTTTTGTTGTTTCATCTTGCATTCATTTCCTTTTGTTACTTCATTTCATGCGGACTCCATAACACTGTGGACTAAAAGACCTTGTATGCCTCCCTTCTTCTTGTTCTCCTAAGAGGGGTGTATGTTATTCTCTACTAACAAACTACTAATACCAAGGTTTTTTTTTGGTTTTTTTTTTTAGACAAAATATCGAGAAGGACAAGAATACAAATCAGTCTTTCAATGGGATGCAAGATCCAGAGAAATTGAAGCTGTCTATAAAGCCCAACAGCTGGCCACCCAGGTAAGGAATATTCCTCAAGTCTCCAAGCCACTAGCCTGCAGGAGACCAAGGATGAGCCCTGGCAAACTTGATTTTTAGGGTTTTAATCGTAGCATTTCAATGGTAAAACCAACATTGCTTCTTACTTTTCAAGACAGCATAGCTCAGTTATAGCTTAGGGTGCAAGAATCAGAATACAAGGAAGGAATAGTGTATCTATATAGTTAGCTTTTTGGGCTACTGCATGTACAGCCATACTCAATGTGTCTTCTTTCTACTGGCACTGAGGCTTCACAGCAAGTGATCTGATTCCCAGGGGAAGTTATTTGAGTCTTACTCCAGGATCCTAGATCCTGACATCTTGATGTCAGTTCTTGTTATACAAGTTCTTCCCTGGCAATTCTGAAGGTAATGTGGAGTGTAGGTCATGTGCTGTATGTCTTCACAGAGTAAATGTCACTTCCACAGCACTGTGTGTGGTTTATTTTATTCTGTCAGATCAGCTGTTTGTGTATGAAAACAAAGGTAAAGATTGGGAGTTATTTCATTTTTGTCTTGTAGAATGCTTACTATGCTGCCTATGCGGAAGGAAAATCATGGTACTCTGGAACCATCCCAGATCCTGATATGGTCCAGATAACACAGGCACAGAAGGCTCTGAGTGATGTAAGTAGGGAGATGTTTGGAATAGCTTTATTTTCATGGTGTGTCATATTCTGAAGACCTACCAGTGCATCAAAACACGTGTTTACTTCTGTCAATAATGATATTTAACCATGTAAGTGATTAAAGTCATGTAACAGCGCTATTAGCCATCCTGGAAATCATACATTTAAATATTTGTGTAAGTGAGAACCACTTCAGCTACTGACCAATGATATCTGAGGTGACCTGATCTAGAAGTCAGTGCTGTTTACATCAGTAGAACAGAACTCATGATGGAAAACATGTTATTTTCTATAGAGTAGACCTTTCATTGTCTGTATTTCCATGGCTGAAGAAAATAACTTCTGAATTATGACTGATTGTCTATGCCCATACAGTGGGTTAGTGACTCAGCCAACAAGAGCCAGTTAGCAGTGGGTAATTGTTATGACTGGGGAATGTTTTCTGTAGTATGTAGGAAGTATTTCTACCTAAAAAGGCAGAAGTTAATTTGTTTGCCTTTAAATAAAGTGATACCTACTTTTAGAAAGCAGGCATTTAAAGAGGAATCATGTTGAACTACAGTGGGTTTTCTGTAACAACTAAACAAAAACCGTTCGTTTTCTAGTTTCAATATACAGAAGAATATGAGCCACGGAGAGGCAAAGGCAGCTTTCCTGCTATGATCACTCCAGGTTATAAGGTTGCTAAGAGAGCCACCCAGCTAAGCAGTAATGTAAGTCACGGGTTTTTCAATCCTATTTTAGACAGCCAAATTTGGAGAATCCTGAGTTTAGTCCATTTACTTCAGACAGTAGGTTCTATGATGAATATTCATTGCACTAGCAAACTACTTGGCTTTGGGAAGACAATCATATAGCATAAATGACATACATTATAGGTATTTCCTGAAAGATGTAGCAACTTTTGTTGTGCTTGTGATTGTGAATCACTCCAAAATATTTATTTAATTCATTACCTCCTTTATTTTCATGTTATGGCTTTATTAATCTATTTATTTTGCTCTGATTTTTTTCACTTTATTATTTGAAGTTCAGTACCTGTAATATTGAATTGAATTCATATACAAGCTATTTGAAATATATGCACAGAAAATTGCTTACTTAGAAAACTAACAATTCAACTGTAAAAGATCAAGTAAAAATGAATCCTGTAGAAGTGATTTTAAAGTATTGCATTGTTTTCTTCAAACACTGTCTGCATTGTCATTGCAGTATGATCTTAGATGGTGCATTAATGACTATTCTCATGATATTTAATCAGATTTATGGCTCACATAAATCTAGTATTACTTGAAAATTTGATTAGCTGGGTCCATTTTTGTCTGCTTCTGGCATTGACTTCCAGGAGATAGGGCCTGAAATATAGTGATAGCTTGAGTGTGCACTGGGAAGTGTCATGACTGCTGTTGCTTGTTTTCTCTTGAAGCCTTCTGATAGGAAATACTTTTTGTTTGTAATATGTATTTTTTATGTTTTCTCCCTCAGGTAGAATATAAGCGGGGACATGAAGAGAGAGTTTCGAAGTTCACCTCTGTTGTAGACACTCCAGATATACTTCATGCAAAGGTTGCAGGACAGCTTTCAAGTGATGTAAGTGAAACAAAATAGGTTGACCTGGTTTTGACTCTCAAGTGCCTCTTAGGATGTTTATAATCACTTAAAAATATGACCATAAACTAAAGTAAAATACTAATATTTTAAAGGCAAACTCATTTTACCACTAGACATTTAATATTTCCAGTTTTAAAGCCCTTATTCACTTCTAGGGACTAGCTGGCTGTCAGAATTGAAGGCAGAGAACTAGTCTGTTCTATACCCAGCAACGGGGTGCTATGTGAAGTAGTGGAAGATGTCTGACTCTAATATAAATAAAGCAGGCATCTTGCAGACAACTTCAGATTTTCTTTAAACAGCTGTGATCCATCCTACACTCTGAATGAGACACAGAGATCCTGCAGAAGATATACAGTCATATCGTTAAAGACTACATTGTAAAGATTCAGGCTTCATGATTCATCTTCCTTCTGGCAGGTGACAGCCATTGAATGCTTGACTTTGCAACTTTAAGAATTGATTATGTGTGCAATCAAGGTACATTTGATCTAACTGCTACTGAACTGTCTTGAATTTTTACAGTTGAAATACACAGAAGACTTTGAAGAACGAAAAGGAAAAGGCAGCTTTCCTGCTATGATCACTCCAGCTTACCAGATAGCCAAGAGAGCAAATGAATTAGCCAGTGATGTAAGTGTCCAAAGCAAAGTCTCTTTTGGGGAAGAAAAGAATTGTCCCACAAATTTTATATTAGAATGGTTATCAGCAGAAATTCCATGAGCATTGTGGAGTTACGCTGGCAGTGCACTTCATGCACAAATTTTCAAGTGATTGTCTTTTCAGGGACAAAAAGGCATTTTATTTGTGAATCAACACTTTGGATTTTTGTGGGCAAAAGTGTCCCCTTTACCCTGCCTCCTGTTGCATACAACTGAGAAGGAAGACAATTAGAGTTAGATGGAGGTCTTTGATTTCATTCCGCCCAAGTCAGTATGAGTTAGAGGGGCTAAAGTGCAGCTCTAATTTACACAGCCACAATATTTCTAGGTGATGTTGCATCAGGGGAAAGCTGTGTTTGCAGAGATCTGCTTTGCTGTGAATTTCCATGCTCCCAGTGGATCTTTGCAGTTCATTCTCCTGTTCCTTCTTTTGTGCTGTTGCAGGATGAGGCTTTTATGAATTCAAGAAACTAGCTTCTTGAATATGTACACATACATACATGCATACATTTGACAAAGGTATAGATTTATAAAACATAGCTTTCTATTCCACTCATTTTGCTCTCCTTACTGTTTGTGGGGTTTTTTAACTCCTTGCTGTTCTGATCTTTATTGGCTTTCTGTTCCTCTCCAAACACGGCAAAACTACAGCACCTCTATATGCTTTAAAAAGCATTGTGAAAGGTCATCAAATGTACAGTTAATTGGGTTTTGTCATTGGTGACTGAAAGGAAAGCCCTTTTTGCTGTAGAAGATGATAACATATAGTGCTAACTCGGTGGAAGTGAATTTAAAACATTATTAAGAGTCCTTGAGGAAAAAAAGAGGAGATCTGTAATTTTGAAGGCAAATACAACTGCCTCTAAAACACTTAAATGTTTTTGTTTGCCTTTGATCTGTGGATTTGTGTTAGTAAAAACACATGGTGATTAAAGGGCAGCGTCACGTTACAGGCATTATTTTGACCTTAGCAAAGGTAGTGCAAATCTTTGTCTAAACTTGAAGGTTGATTGCTTAAAATTCCCTTGATCATTGGGGAAATCAGAATCTTTCAGAAACAAGTCCAGTTATTAATGGCATTCAGATGACCCTTTGGTCAAAGAAGTGTTCTGTGGTAACTGTGATTTACATTACAATCAGTTCTATTTTCTTTGCTGGAGCATCAAGAATTAGCTGCTGACAAGCAGGTGGTACTGAACACACTGAGCTAATGGTTTGGGTTGAAATGGCAAGTCCCATGTTCCTAGTGCATTATTAAAAAGTACACCGCTATTTTTGGTTTTATATTTTCAAGTGACATATCTGACTTCTGTGGATTGGTGGCAGTGGGAATTCTGATGATCCTTTATTGCACGTGGTTGATTATTAATCATTATGCAACATTTGCGTACGAGAGTAAACTCATTTCCTTTTCTTTTTTCCTTTTAGGTAAAATATCATCAAAGATATGAAAAAGAGATCAAGGGAAAAGCCACCCATACATTTGGAACAGATGCTACTATTGCAAGGGAGCACATAGATCAATATGGCCAGGTATGCAACATCTGAGAGATACCCACGCTGATGTTGACCATTGCTGAAGACTCTAGAAACTACAGCGAGACCTATTTTCACTTTGCATTTCTGTATGAAAATGTAAGGTCTGAAAGGAAGGCATGGTGTGCAACAGCACCGTGCTCTGAATGTGTGATATATTTTGCCACTGGGATTTACAAGATGAGACTGCAGGGTGCATACACTGTCACTGCATGATCCTTATGGTAGGGTCATTCAAAAAGGTAAGCCCTACCTTGGCAAATTTTATCTGTGTACATGTATGCACTGTACATTTCTATCGTGGTATTGTTACATCTCACACTGAAATGTGTTTACTTGTGGAAAATGTCCAATTCCATGTGAAAGAAAATGTAAATTCAGTTAGGAGAAAAACTGAAAGGGCTGTGAAATGATAGGTAGCAAGTTAGTAGACGGATGAGCATCTTTTCCCTTGCAAGTGTTTTTAGAAATCTTAGAAACTTTGCAGCTCTAAATATGTGAGAATAGCGCTGAAGATCATACATGTCCTCTTAGATTTCAGAGCATCTGAAAAAATAGTCTTGGGTGCTTGACAAGTTGTAGTTCTGTATTTGTGGAACCAATTAGGCTTTAGTTCTGTTTTGGTCTGTGGCATTCATTTTGCCTTTGTTTCATTTTTAAGGGAATTAAATTATTTTTGTGGTCTCCCAAAATGCATTCAATTAAATTAGGAAAATAGTACAGCTAAATAGTACTGAATACAGCTGAAGGGAATTTGAAAGGAATTGAATAGTGGTTTTGTATAAACAAAACTATATGGTTAGTCTCAGGTTTTTCATTCTTACTCTTCATGAGACCCACATATTTTGGAGAAATGAATGAAAAGAACTATATTGTCCTAAGATATTCGGTATTTTATGTTTCTTCCCTTGTGTCCAAACCTATATCTTGTAATGTGTGAAAATCAAACCGTTCTTGAGGAATATGCGTTTGAAATATGTAGCAATGAAGCCTTCTATCTTTTGAACTACTACAAGTTTTAGTAAGAATAAACAAGTAAAATTAATTTAAAAAAGCACCAGTTGCATTTTCAAGCATTATAGAATGCTCCTCTCTTTAGAATTAAGGGTTCTTTTTCTTTGAAGGTATCTTTGAAAATTCAGTCACAGACTTCAGATTTTATTTGAGTTTTAATCTGCATAGATTGGATTTTGATATTCTTATTCAAATAAAATAGAGCCACTGAAATTAATGGATCTTTCTGAGTGAAGCATGACTTAACACAGGTAAAGGGGTTAGATTTCTAACTGTCAAGATCATAGGGGCACATCGTACCAATGTATATATGACATGAGACAATTTAAGGAACATTACTATAAAGTTTCCTGTGTGCTGGGCACCTGTTTTGTTCATGTTTTAAAATCTTAGAAGTGGCTAAAATTAATTCTCTGGAACTTTGAAAATACTGTTTTGTGATATGAGCAATACTAGAAAGGATTTGAGAAAGAAGAGAAAGAAAATGGCAAGCTGCTGTGAAGAATTCAGACTCATAAATGGCATTTTAAGAAACTAACTCAGCTCATTAGTGATGGCTATTTTTTATTTTCTATGTCTGTTTATAGAATAATTTAGATGTGATAACTGTAATTGCACCACACTGGTCACAATACATGACCTATCTTACCATGTAACATTGATGGTGCATAAAGTGACCTACAGTGGGTTTTTTTTGCATTGAGAAGTTACAAGAGAGATACCCCAGATATTTATAGTCCTTTCTATCTGTGCTCTCCATGACATTCTTGGCATGCCACACATTCTTTTTTTCATTTAAACTAGCCGTTTACGACAAAGGATTTACAAAAGATTTCAGAGAAGACACATTACACTGTATCTTACTTGTTTGTATACTTACCCTATTCTCTCCAGATCTTGACATAGAAAGCTTTAGGACGGTCATTAGGTATTACCATTTTAAAAAAAGCTTCAGTTTTTTGTTATTAAATTATCAAATTGTCAAACATAAAATAATCTATTGATGGATTTAAGAGTATTAATTCAGCAATAATTGTTTTTTTTTAAATCAAGCAAATGGAATTTTGTGACTTTGTTCCCTAAGGTGTTTTGCTCCCACTTTAATAGCTAGATATTTCTGCTTCATTAATGAATCCTTTGTCAAAATATATCACTGCACTAGAGGAATAGTGTTTTTGATCAGCTATGATGTGAGATATGGCTATGGAGAGATCAAGAGCCTTCTGTTCACATCACAATGAAAGGCTGACCTTATGCTAAATTTGGAAAGTTTAAGCAAATTTTCTGGCTGTCTAAACACTTAGGTGTGTTTAGAGTTTTACAAGGAAATGTATTGATGAAGAGAACGGATAGCAGATACCATCTCTGTATGAACTGTGTATTACTGTATACTTGAATGCTATCTTGACCTCATCTAATTGCTACCTGAATTTGTCTTGCAATGCAACACAAGTAATGTTGCAGGCACAGTTAATCTAATGGGTGATTTAATTTTCTTTTTCATAAAAAAAGAAAGTAAAAATGAGGCAATGAACTTTCCTTCTAACAAGGACTGTGGGGCTTATGAAATCACCCATGGCCTCACCTGCTCGTGTATGATGGGTAAACACTCATACATTTTTCTATACATTTCTGCTCATGTATGATGAATAAACACTCATACATTTTTCTATATATAATCTTCAGGATTATATGGATGAGTTTGAAGAACGCAGAGGGAAAGGAAGCTTTCCTGCTATGATCACTCCAGCTTATCAAAATGCCAAGAAAGCAAATGAATTGGCAAGTGATGTAAGTGTGAAACCTGAATCAATACAATTCATAAACAATTAAAAACAGCAGTTTGTCAGAGCAGTGCCTGGAAGGAGAATGCTAAAATTACACTTGAGAAGTAAACAACAATGACATTTCACTGCATTGCTGGGAACTGGATGCCTCAAGGGATTAATAATATCCATTAATACAAGAGGACACAGCTCCAACTTGCATGAGGGGAGAGATGGATGTAGCAGCTAATGGGGATCCCTACTGTTAGGTTAACCCTCCTGGCAAATCTGCACCTGTATTATTAATGAAACCTTCAACTGCCTTAATCATCCTGTGGACTACTGTGGTATTCCCAGTAGTGAATAAATGGAGGATGAATGAGCTGAACTGGTTTTGATATTTTGATGTATCATGCCTCTAGCACAAAACAAGTCATATGGAGAAAAAGAAACCATAGAGTATGACACTGTCACTTCACAAGACTGAGCTTATTTCTAGGCTGGGGATTTTCAGTTCTGGGTGCTAAGCTAAAGAATTGGCAAGGAAGGTGGTGATGTGTGATTCTTGCATGCAGCCCATGGATTAAAGAGCCTCAGTCCTATTTGTGGTGTCCATCGTGTGCAGTGACAAAAACTGGGTCAGTCTGTAGGTCACTACACTGTGGCTGCTGTGAAGGGTTCCTGCTAGTGACAACCTATGTAGTATGGACAGTTATCCCCTGTGGGGCTGTCTGGGCTGATGGGCTGAGGCTGTTTTCTGTTTAGTCTTTCGGCATGTACTAGCCTGTACTAGACACTAGCGGTAAATAGCTTCAACCAGTCACTAGCCAAGAATCGACTAGTTATTTGTTCAAGCTATAAACCACTAGTGCTGTTCAATCTATGTAAAAATTGGATTCTAAAAATTGCTGTCTAGTGAAGTGTCTTGATAGGGATTGTTGGGGCTGTGACTTTATATGAGGTTTATTTCAGGAACAACTTGCAGTGTTTCAGCTTAGCAAGTTCAATTTGCTTATCAAGGCCCACCTCATGAAGCCAGTCTAAATAGCAATGGTGAAAAGGTAGACATCTATTTTATAATTTTTCCTACTTTTTTTTTTTTAGATAAAATACAAGAAAGATCTTTCCAAGATGAAAGGTGCAGCTCACTTTCACTCCCTAACAGCTGAAGACAACTTAGCCCTTAAGCAAGCCCAAAGTGTTAACAAGCTTGTCAGTGAGGTAAGGGGTTCAGTCGATCTTTTAACAAGTTAATGCAGCTCATACAAACATTTGTGTCTGATAGGTAAGTACTACAAATGTTGTTCTTATTGACCTGAATGTAACAAACATGATCTGTGTGTAACTCAGTAACAGGAAAGAAAGGTGTAAAAGCAGATCTTCAGGTGCTGTTATCTGACACTTCCAATGTTTTGTATGGAAGTATGGGGAAACTAACCTCAGAAAAGTAATCCTAATTCTGGCTACATTAAGAATATAAATTGAAAAAAAACCACCCTGAATTGTGCTCTTAATGTCCTGTGAAGCTATAAACATAAATGCTTTAGGATAACTTGGGTGTGTTAGGATGCTTAGAGCATTTCAAAGAAGGTTCTACTAGTAATCAGGAAGTAACACCAACAGCCAAAATTTGTACCATTCTGTTAATGCAGGTTTCTCTTTTCTTCCATCATGTGAAAGACTCTGAATTACTCCTAATGCATTCTTCTGCTTGGCAAGAGAAGATTGCTAGGGAATTCTCAGTAGATTCTGAATTATTAATTTATTTATAGTGTCATATCAGCTATAAAGATATTAATAAATGTGAGTTTCTAGAGATTTCCCCATGGCAGTTTAAAAACTTATACTCTTGAGATGTCAAAATATAAAACCTTCAATAATGAAAAACCCCTGGAAGCAGGACTGGAAGGGGCCTCCTGGGCCAGTGATTCCTGGCTCCTGCTGTTTCGGCACAGTATCGTATAATCCTTTTCTTCTAATTTCTAGCCTGCATTTATTCCTGTCCACTTTATTACTACTGTGCTTTGTGCCAGCATTGCCCTTTAGTTTAAAAAGTTCTGCCTGCATGATTGCCTTTCTGAGATGTTTACAAACGGATATAATTTTCTTCTCTCTGCCTTTATTTTCCTAGACTAAGCAAGCCAAATTCTCCTCCTCTCTCACAGTCTTTCATTGCAGCTGTTAGAGGCTGAGTGTGTGTTCCTTAAACAGGAATGACTGTAAGAGTACATAAGTTCTTGATGAGGTCTTGCTGGATCCTGGTACATAGCACATGCACTTTCCAGTGCCTGCTCAAAAGTCTCCTCTTGCTTCCGCCTTGGACTACATTTACCTTTTTGATGGCTGTGTTACTTTGTCATCTTACCATCTGTCTGTGGTCAGCCTACAGATGAACAGTTTTCTCTTTCTTAGTCCTTCCAGGTGATGAGCTCTTAGAGCTGAAATTTTTATGATTCCCCCCTACATGCATTAAGCTGTACATTGCTGAATTTAGTCATATTTCCATTACAACCCCCTTTAATATCACCCTCAACATTCCTACTTCAGAGTAAGGTACTTAATGGAAATATTAAACCAGTTCTGTATTTAAACTTACTCTGGAGAATTCTGCTGGTAAGCTTCCCCCTGGTCAATCCTTCATGGTGGAAAACACCCATTGCTTTTTTTGCTTTCATTTACTCCACACTCACCGTAAAATTCCTTCATAGATCCTTAGTTTTGTTAATGATTTTCCTCATGGCACTGTCTCATACACTTTGCTGAGGTCCAAATGGATGAAATTTATTGCATACCTTTTGTCTATAAAGCAAGAACTGAGTATATGAAAATCATATTAATTTTTATCATATGCCATCTCATGAAAGCCATGTATCAAAATCTCTGAACAGTGGGTCTGGCTGATGAAAAGTGTGTGTACGAACTTGACAGAGCATGTTAAGGTTTTACTGTATCTACCCCTTGTGCATTTTTGTCACTAAGGTGGAGTATAAGAAGGATCTTGAAAACAACAGAGGCTACAGCATGAACTACTGTGATACTCCACAATTCAAGAATGTGAGCAAGATCTCAAAATTCACCAGTGATGTAAGTTTCCAGTACCTCATGTTATCCTGACAGATAACTGGGGCTCATTTTTGTAGGGTTATGAAAAGAAGTATTGCAATATATGGAAGAGAGGTTGCTAATCTAGGGAAGTAGCTGCCAGTTGTTACTGTTATCTATTCTAATTATTACTCATTTAATTTTGTATACCCATTTCCTGACTGGAAAGGTAAGCAGAAGATTCTTTACCAGAGTTAATGTCAGAGAGGAACATGTTTACTGTGTGGAAGTAATCAATGTTAATAATTGCACCACATGATACTCAAGTATAATTTTTACACTGCTTCCTACCGTTCTCTGAAATCTAGGAGGAGTAAATCTTTTGCCACATGCATGAGACGGTTGAGTGGTTTATCTAGTCAAATTCCTTCCTCTGGGCTTCATGAAAGCTGCACCAAAACGGTCCAGTTTTGGTAGATGTTTATAATTTCATTTGTTAATGTACAAATAATGCTTCCATGCAATTTAATTCTAGTATCTGTTTCTGATGAAAAAAATATGCAGCAATAGAATGTGGAGGTATCTCCTTTATGTGGCATCCAGGTGATATGAAGAGCATGTAAGTGGCATCTTGTGAAATAGGAAACTCATAGAGGGTTTTAAGTTTTGTTTATTAAAGTACCAAGGTTGTGATGGACTCATAAGTTTCTGTAATGGTGCAACACTAGCAGACCGCAGCTGTAATCATTTGTTTCACTGCTGTATCATACGGAAACTCATATTAAAAATAGGTATATTTTATCAGAGTATTTTTGCTATGTTTTGTACAGCTTAAATACAAAGAAACCTACCAGAACCAGATGAAAGGTCATTATGTGGGTATTGGCATGGACAGGCGAATGCTACATGCCATGAAGGTTGGCAGCTTGGCAAGCAATGTAAGTCTTTATTAATCGTGCTTGTATAGCTGTTGCTTTCTTATCTTTTTTTTTTTTTTCCAGTATTAAGTTGATAAAAACTTTAGATCATATTGTATTGAGGATCTAAAGGATAGGTATGTTGAGAAAAGGAGAAATTGTAGAAACCTTTTTGTACTGATTTATAGCTCACTGTGTGGAAGAAGTTAAAATAAGCAAATTCAGTTATCTGGCAACATACTGCGCTCCTTCAGTTTTCTTTGACATCAGTAGGATGCTGAAGGTTTCTTGCCACCACCCCCAGGGTCAGACCTCTGCTGAAAAAACAGTCTTTAATGAAGATTTCTGGATTCCAATTTAATTTACTGGGTTAGTCAAGAAGCTATTTCATTACATACCATTCCTTCAAGTATATTATTTACAAATCTGTAAGAAGCTTGAGAACTAAGCAGAAAGATAAAAGAAATGTGTCATAGGTGGGAGTTAAGTTAATGCTCCCACTGTTGGCATTGGATTAATTGAGGAGCTGAAAAAGAATCAATTAGTGGCTAAACTATGCAAATAATTTCAATTTCTTTGTCACTCATGACATTGAACTTACTTTGTTTTCTGCATTTAATATTAATATTATTGTTTCTCCTTTCCTCTTGACTGATAATTATTCACGCAAATGACAGCTTAAAAAAAAAGATGATTTTTTTTTTTTCTCCCTGTGTTTCAGATAGCCTATAAGTCTGATTACAAACATGATGGTGTTGACTACAATTACCCAGCTACTCTCACTCCTTCGTATCAGACAACAAGGAAGTTGGTCCCTTTGAAAGATGTAAATAATATTTTCCTATGACTTACATGGCTCATCCTGTCCCTGTAGGAGAGCTTGTGATAGATTGCATGTGTCAAATGATGATTTAATCATGGGAGCAAACAGCTAGTGATAACAAAGTTAAAGCAAAAAAAGTGCAGGGAGTCAAGGGAGCTCAGAGGAATAGAAAGTGCTGCCACCTCCTGTCATTGGCTTCAGTTCAACACAGGTTGTACACTGATGTGAAATGAGTGAGCTCTGACCTATCCCTAGTTTGTGTTGCAAAACATCTCACCATCCTGGACAGCTTCATCAGCAGCATCAAGCAATGAAAGGATGAGGAGACGTAAATAGGCTTCTTGTCCTTTGTGAGTTCCCTGAAGATAGGTGTTCCCCTTTGAAGGGGAACTAATTGGTCACATACAAACAGGAGCAAATTGGTCACATAACCTTCCTTACACCTGTGATCTGTGTGAGAGAGGTGCCCTCTGTGCTTGGGGTTGAGTTACTGATGGAACAATATGAAGAAATTTATGTACTGCTGTGGTTATATGAGCTCTACAGCCTGATAAAGATAAAAATAGTCCAAGTGATGGTTAAGAATATTGGTTTTATAGGAATGCTTTTGAGGACCATCTGAAACTGCAACTTTTTAAGAATTAGTTGTTTTGAAGGAGAGGGGTTATAAATGAGGTTCATTTTCAAAGTGAGATACAAACTGTAATCTTAGACTAGGAAATTTTTAGAGCATTAACTCACATCTCATCCAAGAGATCCTGATGTTTTCCTCACCTCAACTTAGTTATGGTTTAAGTCATGATTTATCTAGAATATTAGCTAATAAACCTTTGTCTACTCATTCTCTCATTTTCTGGTCTGGCCATTTCTTCCTTTATTAAATCTTTTTATTTTATCTTAAATTAGGTAAACTACAGGCAAAGCATAGACAAGCTGAAGTACAGCTCTGTTGCCAGCACTCCACAAATCGCTCAAGCCAAAATAAATGCGCAGCAGCTCAGTGATGTAAGTTCTGTCATCATTAACCACCATTGTTTGTTACAATTATGAGATAGTTCTATTTCATATCTCTTGTAGCATTCATGTGTTTTTATTCTTGATAGTTCATCTACAGATTTACAACCAAAACAAGGATAAAAATTGAGTTAAATCCTTTCAAAAAATGTGGGAAGCATACCAGTAGACGTTATATTTTCCTCCATTTTGATATTTGTATTAGTTTTTCTTCTGTGTATTTATTGATGCATGTTTTTGATATTTTCTACTTACAGATAATCAGTAACTATTTATAGAATATTTAATCTACTTCCTACTACCTAAGTAAAAGTTACAATTGCCTTATTGCCCTCATATTTATGTCAGCCATATCTACAAGTGTATCTACAACATAGCACTAATAGCCTGAAATTTAAGGGCAGTTAATTAATCTAACTCATATTTTGGGTAAGTTAAAAATAACTGAGTTTGTTGTTGACTTTTTCAATATATGGCAGCTGAACTACCGAGCCCAGTATGAGAAGACAAAAACAAACTACACTCTACCTCAGGATGTACCTCAGTTAGTCAAAGCGAAAGCGAATGCTGAGTTATACAGTGAGGTAAGTCACGTGGTGTGGAAGTATTGTTACTCATGATGCTGTTAATAGAAATGAATATAGAAATGATGATACTATTTCTGGAAGCATTTATCATTTATCTTTGGTCTTCACTAAACAGCATGAAATGTGGTATAGATATTCTGGTGTAGGTAGAGATACTATCTCAAGTACAGTGAAACCACTAGACTTTTTCAGACAATTTGACTTGTTTAGTAAATCAGTGTTCACAACTTCACAATACCACTGAGGTGGTATTTATATGAAGAAGCAACATTTGCGTAGTTATGATAACTTGAAGCTTACTGAAGTCAGTGGGAAGAAACACAGTGACTTCAGTGAACTTGGATCAAGCTCACTCTTGCTGCCATTCAGAATTCATGACAATGTACATTGATTTACTTTGACACCTGGGTGTTAAAATCAAGAACTTACAGGAAAAGTTTAAATTCTATTTCATTTTTAAAGTTTTTTTTTCAGGCCTCCATTGTTGTAGGTAGTTTTGGAGGGAAAAAAGCTCAACAAGACAAAGGAGTGCAAAACCTCCAGTCTTATTACTGGTGTGACTGTTATTTTTGAAACAGTTTCATAATTTCTCGTGGTTGTGAGTTGGCATTACTGCAAGTGTTCATAACTGTTTTTCCCCTAAGTTTTATTTGAGTTGCATTAGTGGAGTCTTATGGAGCAACACTCTGTGGCTGTAATGTGCTGGGATGCATGCTCATTGTTAGATGCTAGTAACATGTTGCTGTCTTTCTTTTCTCAGATTAAGTACAAAGAAGGCTGGGAGAAGAGTAAGGGCCAGGGTTTTGTAATGAAACTTGATTCTCTGCCTCTACTTGCTGCCAAAGCTTCAAGGGATCTTGCCAGTGATGTATGTTATATTTAATTACCTAGGAATTATTCTTTATATAAGTTGTTATAGAACAGGGAAATGGAGCTTAACTCACTTCATCTGAATTTTAAAGTCCTACATTTGGCTGTCCATCTTTCTCAATGGCTGGTGAACAGTTGGAAACTTGCTCAGACTGCTATGAAACTTCACTCTCTGAAAATTGTTTTTTTCTAAATACAAGTGTACAGAAGGAAGCAAAACAAACCCCTTTAGTAAAATTCAGTGTTTTGAATTGTTTAAAGCCTCAAAAATGATGTTATCATCACCTGCAAAGGGAATGCATGTTTCTTTAGTTTGCTGCTTTAACATAAATACATGTATCTAAAAAAATTTCCAAACACTTTTTAAACAACTTATCTCATGCCTGTGGAGAGGCAAAAAAATAATAAACTTCTTCTGCAAGTGGGAAGTGTTTGGCAATGATGGTGATTCCAAAATCCCACCTCATTAAGAAAATAAAAGTTTTCATTCCTTGCTTGTTTTTACTTGATTGATTCTTTATCTTTTGCTTTAAAAACCAAATAATTTAGCTAATCAGCTTATAAGTATATCCACCTCATAGGAATGAGCCTGAAGGAATTAAGTTAAAGGCAACATAAATGAGACCAACCTTGCACTTTGGGAGTTTCTTAGAAAGCCTGGGAAATCTGAAGTGACAGCGTGAGAATCAGACTAAACCGTTCTAAATTTTGACCATCCAAAATGCCAGTGAAAACCATATTACTTATCTTTTAGGTAATTGGAAACATTCTTTGACTGAAACTATTTTTTTTTTACAGATTAAATATAAAGAAGAATATGAAAAAACAAAAGGAAAAGCAATTGGAGCCAAAGATTCGAGACTTTTACACTCTCTGAAGGTGGCCAAGATGAGTAGTGAGGTAAATTATTTATTTCTCTGAGTCAGAAGGTGTTATTCATAATTGTGAATCTTTCAGCAACAGTATGCAATCTACCACTGTTACTGCTTTCACTATAAGAAATTCTTGGAAACTTTTAACAAGACAAAGGTTGGTTTCCTTCCTCTGTCTGTGGCTCTGCAATGCTTGCACAGTATTTTTGTTCTCTTAGGGAATTTTGAGCTGGTGCTGTCCTTATTTTGGGGCAGGAAAATAACATCCTATAAAACCCCTAGTATAAACACTTCTACGTGGAACTTTAAAGCAGATTAAAGTTTTTTTAAAAGTCATATGTACTATAATAGAGAAGATGTTTCCAGAGTTTGCCATCTGTTTTGTGGATCCCTTATAGGACTCAAACAAAAGTGGAAATTTAAGATAGCTTTGACTTTGCAGTGCACTGGTGCAGACAACTTGTTTTCATTTCTTCTATTTCTAGATTGCCTACAAAAAAGATTTTGAGGAGAGTAAGACCCATTTCCATCTGCCTATGGATATGATAAACCTGAGACATGCTAAGAAGGCCCAGGAGCTTGCTAGTGACTTAGATTATCGAAAGAGACTGCATGAATACACAGTGGTTCCAGAAGACATGAAGACAAAATGGGCAAAGAAGGCCTATGGTCTCCAAAGTGATGTAAGATGATGTATACTCAGCTTAACTGAGTTAAGTTAATTATAAGCAGCATGAATGTTTATAGACTTTTTAAGTTTGACATTAATTCTCATTCATACAATGCTGTTTGATTACACGATGACTTATTTTATATGTCTTTGCAATGCCTTTGAAACTGGAAAGGGTGCAAATGTTCACATGCGAAAATTTTACATGTGTTCCACATGCCAATAAATGTCATTTTCCTCTACAGCTTCGATATAGGTCAGATCTGATGTGGATGAAAGGAGCTGGGTGTATCACAGAAGGAAGTCTTAATATACAACAAGCCAAAAAAGCAGGAGATTTGGTCAGTGAGGTAAGAAAAGTACTCAGGCTTCTGTCTGTTGTTTACTCAAAGGTTTACGTGCACTTATTCCACTAGATTATGTGGAATAGGTAAGTAATTCCTAATATGGAAAACCTGAGAAATGGAAGAACTGATGGATGTCATTTAGTTTTTCGACAGTTTAGGAGATCCTAGGTTAGAGGTTAAAAATATGTTTCCCATTATATGATTATTGTGTCAAGTTTGTGAGGCAGAAGAGCCCATAATTGTGCTTCCACTTCTATTCATTCACCTGCTCATTTTGCAGAGTGGCATTGGAAGGATTTAGAGTTTCTATGACATGTGCTACAGGAAGTGCATAGAGTTTTAAGGAGCAGTGTTGAAAAATCGGTTGTTTGTTAGCCATGTGTGGAGTTTCCTTGCTTTTTTGGCAAATAAAGGATATGACTTTATTGGCAGCTTCAGCTTGTGCTACTTTTCATTGCTTTCACTTGGTTTTGCACTGCCGTTAGCCTTCTGGAAGTACACTTCCTCAGCTGCTTAGCTATGGTTCAATCATCTCACTAGAGCTAGGAAAACTAGAGGACATATAGAAGAATACATTAGGGGAAGTTTGACAAGAAGGATAAAATTCCACTTAAGGCTGGGGGAAGGAACAGAAGCCAGTTAGTTACTGGAGATCACACTCTTTAATACATTGGGTCTCTGACATCCTCTCACTACTCCTGCGAGGGGAAAAAATACATCTGAGAAACAGAAGAAGAGCAGCTACTCTCAGATCTACTGTCTTGCTAGGGATAGACTGACATCTGCTGCTGTCGTGTGCTGTGGTAATAATCACTTCCACAAATATTTAATCCATAATGATCTGCCTTTTCATTCTAGTGCTGCATAAGGCCAAGAGATGGCTGACAGTCACCTGAACTGGAGACTGGTGGATAGTATTTTAGAGATCTCTATTGCCATGCAGAGCCTGGCATTTTGTCATTTCTTTGCAGAATGTCACTATATTGTGTTCCATGCAATGTGACAAAACATGCTGTTTTTAATCTGCCTCCCTTCCTTCCAGGTTCCTAAAATAAAGGGATGAGCACCTCTTTGAAGTGCTGCATGCTTTTTTAACTTCTATTTTGTGTTCCCATAGCAGAGACACAGCATAAATTGATCTGTTCACCCATCAGTTCAAACAGAAGGATTTCTCTACTGAAATGCCAGATAATGAAAAAATGCATTTACGCCCTTCCTAGGTGGAATGCCCCACTTCATGGTTGAACTGTTAAAATAAGAATTTGACTAAAGTATACAAGAAATATGCTTGATCTCCCCTATCATACTGTGGTCTTGAAATAAGGTGCTGAATTTCCTTCTACTGTCTCAAAGATAGAGAGAAATACTTAGCTTGCTCTCAAATGAGTGATACAGAAGACTGAGGCAGAGGCACTGATACAAAACAGGCCTGATCCAAAGCCTGATGAAGTTAGTGGAAGTTTTCCATTCACTTATGTGTGTTTCAAATATAAAACAAAAAGTAAGATGGGATAAAGGTAAGGGCAATCTTGTTTACCAAAGTAGAAACATTAGTCTCTATGCAAATTTGTCCATTCAAATAAATCTTATATAGGTATTGGTGCCAGAAGATGAATGAAGCACAATTTGTCTTCCCCACATCCAAGACTTGAGCCTTGTGGAGTCCTCTCACAGCCGTTGCTCCCAGGAAGGCTTGACTGCAGTGTCTGCACTGAGCTCTGCTTTGAAAAGAGCTGGGAGATGGGGGAAGATTCTGAATTTAAGTTACCTTCAGGACACTGAAATTGCCCCTTCTAATTTAATTGATAATTTAGAAGTATGTTAGCAACTTAAAAATACCTCAGTAACATGTTCAGTGATTTTGATAACTCATGCATATGCTTCAGAGGTCTCACATAAGAAAACAAGATGGCAATATTGATCCTGTAGCTTATGAGCTCTCTTGGGTCCTGACTTGCCGCACCAGGTTTGTGAAGGATACTCACTGGTTGGTGTGCAACCTAGATCTTGTAAGAAATTTAGCTTGTACATCCGGCACCAAAGAGTGTCCATGCTTGCAGTGTCAGCAACAGTACATTTGCAATATTCTTGCACTACCCTTCTCACCTTGGAAATACTAGTAGCTATATACAGTAATATAACAGTACAATATATATAAAGTATACAATACTGGGTAGTATTTGGAATCTTATGTTGTTGATACCTTGCTAAAATTGTCTTGGAATTTACAGGGGAACTTTGGCTCTATCAGTCATGTATTTTTTGAAAGTGCTACGTTTTTCTTGGGAATGTAAATATTGTCGAAACTTTTGCGTAACCTGCTGTAATTTGATGCAGAAAAAGTACAGACAGAAGGCTGATGCTCTGAAGTTCACCAGTGTGGCTGACAGTTCTCAGATCAAGCATGCCAAGAAAAGCCAGGAACTGCAAAGTGATGTGAGTCCTTGACTGAATTTGTCTCTTTGCAAGTAACTTATAATGTGGTCATTCCTGAGATACAAACACTGGGGTGGTGGGTGGAAGAAAATGTGAAATTTCTTGGATTTATTTTCAAGAGTTTTTATTTCTTTGATGAATTCTCTCATTAAATTCTCTGAACTAGAACAATAACAACAAAAATCAAATGCCAGTGGGAGTGGAAATGGACAAGCAAGGCTTCTCATGAATGATGTCAAAGGCTGGGGATGCCTCTGCAAGGCAGTCTTGGTGATAGGCTGAATTTAAGTATGGCTGAAATTCATTCATGAGAGGATACCTGGCTATTCCTGAGGCATTAATGTTATCTGCATGAAAACTGGTTATCCATGAAGTAGCAAAAGTGAGGATGGAAGCTGTAGGAGAATCACAGTATTCCTAACTGATCCTCAGGCAATGCTTCAAAGCAAGGTAGACATTAGCTCAGGGACTGATGCACATTCATCCCAGGCTCTGTGTTTCTCTCCACTGAGGGCCCTGTCAGACTACCTCAGGTTATATCAGCCTTGTTAGACAACACATTCTTCAGCTGTGGCTGTTAAAGTGCTTTACTTATTTTACTGAAGTACTTTACTTTTTGATTCTGTAATTCTGTGATTTAGTAGAATGCTCAAATAGCCATATTTTCCCAACTGTGTGCCTTCAGAATACTCCCTATTCTTTCTTGGGGTGGGCCACACTGGCAGGTGGGATAGGATAGGATATTTCAGTATGAAGGGACCTACAATGGTCAGATGTGCAACTGCCTGACTACTTCAGGGCTGAGATGGTACTTCAGAGCTCCCTGGCAGGACTTAGATGACAGGAACTGACTTGTAAGTTTCCAAAAGGAGAGGAACCTGTTGTTATAATTGCTGGCCAACTAATTTTGGAACAGTAGTGACTTGACAGGCCTTTTTAAAGTTACATTTCATATGTTGTACCTTGAAATGAAGATGCTGTCAGCTTCTCGGCTGTTATGTGAATGAAGCATTACTGCTTCTTGAGTAGTCCTTTTCAGGCAGCTACCATGTTTCCTTTTTTTGATCTTCTACATCAGTAAAAACACAGCACTTAGTTGGGTGAGCATTGTGTGTCTCAAATATGACACCAGATTGAATCAGAGGAGAACACTGGTCTCCTGACTCCCATTATTTATCTCCTGTGTACTGGACAACACTGCCTTTCTTTGTGTGTGTGTAAGTCCGAATAGTAGCCATGGATTTAGATCTTTATAGTAGGGACATTTCTTACCCCCCTTTCTTTGAGATGTAAGAAATACAACGCTTTGTGAAATGGGCATCTTTTTGCATCTTTTCAACAGCTCCTCCAACAGCTTCATGGGCTTCTGAAACAGTAGTTTATTTCTCTGTTGATGTTGCTCTGGGATATAAAATGGAGATGTTTGCTGCTTGGATCATAAAAAGGTCCTTGATATTTTCATTCAAAGTTGGAACGTTAGTCCTCACTGGAGTATTATGTCAGCAATTACATTTAGGTCACAAACTTTTTCTGCAGATTCAGTTGCATGGTGTTCTTCATTTCATGCCTAAAATTCACTATTTCTGTGCCCTATTAAAGACTACCCAAAAAGTAGCTGCAGTTTAATATTGGATGAAAGTATTCTTGCATACATTTTGTGCAGACTATGAATTGCTGACAGCTTTATAGTCCATTAAGTAGCTAACTTTAGGAAAGAGAATTAAAGTATCATGATACATATTTTGTTTCACTGCTTCCATGAATAATTGGTCAACCCGACTCTGTGGGTCAGCTTTTAAATTCATATTTGCAAAAAAAGTCATGATGCTAAAGTCACCAAATAAATTAACCCTAACAAATCCCATAATATTTGGGGTGTTTTAATCAATATTCCTTCAGTATTAAATGTGGACTACTGCTTGTTAAACCATGCTTTGCTTTCTGTGGACAGGTTGCCTACAGGTCAGGAAAAGAGCAATATCTTCATCAGTACACCATCAGCAAAGATGATCCCGTCTTTCTGCTGGCCAAAGCAAATGCTGCCAATATCAGTGAGGTACTGTGTAAGATATAGATTTGGTTTAACTCCTGTGAATAGTTACAGCTGCTGTTGTAATGTTTGTTCTGTTGGTGAAAGTTAGATTTTTTTTCTCTGTAAAGATCCAAATGTTTTAGCTATAAAAACTTTATATCTAAATTTAATTACTTTCTCTTAATTAAATACTAGTCACATCTGCTGTTCTGAAGACTTGTCACCTTTGGAGTTTGAAGCTGTGTATTTTCCACATGCTTCCAGATGAATGGCATACTGACAATTTCACTGGAAGCAGTGAGATAATGGGGTTACAGTACCCACAGTATCCAGTTACATTATGTCAGTGAAGACACCATATCTCTTCTTTAAATATATGGTTGCTGGACATGGAGTGCTTGCTGGTCTGATGTTATTTGAGAGCTTTCACTGTGACTATAGAACAAACAGAATATATTGATAATAATAAAGAGTCTGTGTTATTGTCATCTCTTTAGAAACTCTACAAGAGTAGCTGGGAGAAGCAGAAGGAAAAAGGATTCATGCTTCATCTGGATGCTTTGTCATTCTTGACAGCTAAGGCAAAGAGGGATCTGGCAAGTGATGTGAGTATGGACTCCATCAGCCTTCTTTCTTTACAGGACAGCTGACAATCCAGGTTGCTACCAGAGTGTTGGGATGTGTCACATATGTCTCAGTGCCCTAAGCCACCCTCAATTGATTTGTGCTAAGGAGCAATGCAGGAGTTGACTGGGTGATTGGCATTCTGTAATTAGTCAGAAGGCTTGCTGTGAGCAATTCAGGAGTTTTCCCCCGCATGCTGACTGTGGTTTTCTATTCTCATTTTGACCTGAGGGTGAATTTTAGAACTCAAAATGAAGTGGAAATCTCCTGTGAAACATCATAACTTAGTACATCTATGCTTGGCCAGAAAATTCCCAAATGAACTTTCTGACCTCAGTGCGTAGAGAATGTTGTTTTTCCTAGAAAGAAACAAAAAGAAAAGAGTTCTTAAAGCTTTTTGTGAACATATTATTATTGAGAAAGGGTTTATTCTTTACAAGCACTTACTAATTTCTAAATCATTACAGTTCTTTTTTACAAACGGACTTCTTAGTTGCTTGTGTCAAGGACTGAGCATGTCACAGTACTGATAGACCATTGCTTTACTGCTAGCAGAGCTGTCAGTTTGGCAACTTAGATCAATAACTTGTGGTCTATTTTTTTTCTTCACAGATTAAATATAAGGAAGGTTATGAGAAGATGAAGGGTAAGCTGGTTGGAGTAAAGGCTGTGGAGGAAGATTCACAGATGGCTCATTCCCTTCAAATGTCAAAGTTGCAGAGTGATCTGGAGTACAGGAAGGGATTTGAGGACACAAAGAATCAGTTCCATGTCTCCATGGATATGGTTAACCTTGTCCATGCCAAAAAGGCTCAGAATCTGGCCACAGATAAAGGGTACAGGACAGCTCTCCATCACTACACAGCCCTGCCTACTGACATGAAAGTGGCATGGGCCAAATGGGCCTATGGATTGCAGAGTGATGTAAGTCCTGCTCTTAATATATTTCAGTGGTCCTTCATTCAACCCATGCAGACACTTAGGGCTGAGTTTATTCAGATATTTATGCTTGTAATGCCACAATATTTATGCACCTAATATTTCAACTATTAAGCAGTTAATATTAAACTGGTAAATATTAACCATGTATTTGCTCAAAAGATATATGTAGTGCAAAAGGTGTGCAGTTTTGAGGAGAATTATGATCCTGTTTTATGATCATGGCTTCTTAGAATCATAGAATCGTTAGGGTTGGAAAGGACCTTAAGATCATCTAGTTCCAACCCCCCTGCCGTGGGCAGGGACACCTTACGCTTCTTCAAAGTCTACTTCAAATGTTAATAAAACAGTAGGGTTTGTATATGATGTACATTAATTTTTTTTACCTAATATGCAGGGTGGTTAAATAATGTATAGTGATAAAATTGGTGATAAAATTTCATACAGGTTACATGCTCAGCTGTAACCATCAGCTAAACTGTCTAATACTGTAAATGGTTACTCTAAGTTAGACCTTACATTCTGAGGTTTTAAGTTAGAACATTTCAAGGAGACTAAGTTAGGTATCTGTACAGGTCTTGTTGAGGTATAACCACTGAAACCCATCTGGCTTCTTTGAGAAAGGTGGCTCTAGTACTTGTATAAGATTTTTGGAATTCAGTAGACTGTTGGTAGGAGAGATTTCGTGAGGAAAATGAGAAATACTCCTGTACACTTCCTCCTTAGAAACACGTGGAAAGTGAAAAACTAGATGCTTTCCCTCCGGTTTAACAAAATGATAGGGATTGGGAAATACTAAATATCATTTTCTTCTCATTGCAAATCATTAATGATGTTTTAAACAGTGCACTGTGCGCAATAAAACTGAAGTTTTTGCCACATGAGGTTAAAAATTACAAATGACAGTAAAGTGTAGACCACTTCTAAAAACTACCTTGTGCAGCATACTGCACAAGAGCTGGCAAGTCCTGATACTTATATTTCATTCTGAATTTTATTTTTTGCTTCCCTTGCAACTGTACAATAGTGAATAAAACAAAAGCAGGCACTAATTTGACTTGGTTGTTGTCCCTGAGATGTCTGAATCCTTTAATGGCATTTTAAGTGTATGAACACCAACAATAGTGTTTTTTCTTTTTCTTTGTCAGAACCGATACAGAGCAGATTTGAACTGGATGAAAGGAGCTGGATGGATAGCCACTGGGTCATTAAATGTGGAGCAGGCTAAGAAGGCAAGAGAACTCATTAGTGAGGTGAGATTTCATGACAGCATGTAACAGAATTTGCTGCATAATGCGTGCAAAATGTCTGTATAAAATTAAAATAATTTCCACTCAAAGGGGAAAGAAAAAGGCACAGCACATGAAAGCCCTCAAAACCAGGGATAGGACTGGTAATTAGAGGGAAACCAGATACCAAACACACACCAGTAGGAGTCCATATAGCCTTTGCAAAAACAAAGTAGGTGACAAATGATATTATGAATAATAATGGCAATCAAACAGTGCTCAATTGATACCCACTAGCCTACCTTTTTAATGAAGCAAAACAGTAGAGATGATGAAAAGATCCAGTCATTGGACCCAGGACCTTCTTTTGTAACAGATACACGTTCCTTCTTGTTCCTTTTTCATATATATTCATGCTAGCTATTGATATTCATATAGATATCTCTGTCTGTAGCTATCTATCAGCCCAAGTAGTTTTCATCCTTATTTCTCCTTATAACTAATATGACTTATAGGATAAGGCAAACTCTAGAATCCTTCGTACCAGTCCCATGAGACTTTCTAAGGGCTGATGGAAATGGTTAAAAGGTCCATAGTATTCTGTTTCTGTTGTCTTATAGGAAGTCCTACTGGCCAAATGCGCTGCAGTAGGAGACTGAATCCTGTGATTTTTTAGATAACCATGGGTAATGCAGGAATCATCTGTCCATTCACTCAGTGAGAATAACAGTATAGCCACTAGTGTAGTGGCTTGGAAAATGTGGTCATCCTTTCACATCTGCTGATTGCAAACACAATTTTTTTTCCCATGTAATCACATACAGTGAAGAATGATGGGGTTTTTAGGCACAATAAATTTGATTCTCAGCTAGTGTCAAGCAAGGTAGATTCATAAAAGCTAGTACAGCAATGCTGGCTGGAATAGTAACTCTGAATCTGTAGAGGTATACGATTTTAATGTTATAGTAGTGAAAACTTCCAGGTAGAAATATGACCTGCTAGGTTGTCCATCTTAACCTTTTTGTGAGTACCAAATAATTTTAGATGGGTACGAGCCTCCTCCTTTCTTACATACACACAGTGACTAGCACTTGTAGTACTGCTAAAAAGCAATTGCCAGAATATATCTAAGTTTTGTGTAGACATGTTCTGGTCAACTCTTGTTTGTCTCTAAATCTGATCAGAATTAAGAATAAACCACTTTTGTCCCCAGTTAAACTTAGAAGGATTGCTCATTTTTAAGGGATTGCTTTCTGAAATGAAACATTGCTCATAAGCTTGTAATACCTTGGAAGAGTTAATGTGGTTTATGGGTATTTTGAGTTCCCAAAGAGTCAAGATGTTACCTCAGATAGATAATCTTCTGTGGATCATAGCTCAATGTAAAGGATGACATGCCTTTAGACTCAAACACTGAGATAGAAACAATTTCCAGAAGACTTATGAACACATTTATTGACTTGGGAGTTCATCACAGGCATTGGGAAAATTCAGTATGCGCTATTTGGAGAAGAGATAAGAGTATTGATGGGTTTAGGACAGCTAACGCAGGAAGGGAAGCATTTAGAGACCTGGCCATGTAGAAAAAGTGACATTTTGCCATCAAACAGCCTTCATCTTAATTATGTACGTATAACAAGATCTCTCAGAAACTACTATGGGTCCTTTCAAGCAAGCAGAATTAATATAATTATCTAGAAGATACACCAAAACAATTAGGCATAGTGTTAATGGCTGCACAGATTTGCTGTAAATGTAAGGAGGAAACCTAAACCCTGGAACAGTAAATTAAATGGTTGCCATTATTAACGCACTACAAATGTATATGATCACTTGCTTAAAGAAACTGTCAATAAAAAATATAATCAGTCATACTGTATTTGAAATAATCTGAAAAAGATTTTAAAATCCTGAGTTCTGGAGAACTTAGGTAGACAAAATCCAATTTTGAAATGTTTTCCTTATATTTAGGGAGAAATACTTTAATATTAATCGGCAAAAGGTTATTGTTAAATTGAAACAAATATTAATCTGAAGGTACCTAGGACATAAAGCTGAGGAAAGAGGAATAATAATTATGTTCACAAATTCACTCTAATCTCCAGCAACCTATGATTTTTCTCTTTCAAATAGCATGAAAGAGCAGCACAAAATTCACAGCTTTGATCTTTTTCTGCTCAACAGAAGAAGTACCGTCAGCATCCATATGCTTTGAAGTTTACCAGTATTAAAGACACTCCTGAGATGATCCAGGCTAGAATTAGTTATAACCAGGCTGTGGATGTAAGTTATAATGTATATACATTATGATTATAAGAGTGGTATCCTCTTTGAACGACCCGATTGAAGCACTGGCTTTCTCTCTCTTTCTTTCTCTGAGATTATCCTTGGGAACCATGAAACTTCTGTGTTCTGGTGCGGTGCATCTCACAAAAAGCATGCTTCTAACTTGGAATGGGAAGTCATAGAGATGCCAGTAAAATGAATGGGAGTTTCATGTAAAAAAAGGGCTTTCTGTCCAATTGGCTTTTTTTTTCCAGAAGTAAAATTTAAAAGTAAGACTGACCTTTGGCTCTTCAGAGTCTTTTGGTCTCTTGAAATTCATTGAGGAAGAACACATTTGGGGTCCTTTCCCCTTTTCAAACAGATCTTTCAGATTTCAGTTTCTGCATGTTCTTTCAAAACAAAATGTAAGGCAGCATGACAAGGAAATAAAAATAAATAATTTCAAGCTGTCATCCCGCTGAGAGAGAAATCCAGGAGGGGAAACCTGAAAGGGAAGAATTGAGGCTGTTTGGTGTTTAAACATGTTTATTTTTAATAGAAGAGCGATTTAAAAATATTGTAGACTTAACTGGGATAATGCAGAAGTGAATAGTAAGCAAAAGTCACTCAAAAAAGACAAGTTTCAAACATGAGAGGATGTTTTATTTTGAAAATAGATATTTTTAAAGTGAAGAAGAAGATGAAAGACTTTGTGTAAAACACATGCTATTGTAATACTTACAGTGTCTATGCCTTTGGTGTAATTAATAAGATCCAAAAGGCTTACATCTCAGGCAGGATAAATATAAGTCATTTTGTTCTGCTGTGCCACAGTCAAAATCAGTCTGCTGCTCTACTTCACACATGGAGTTCTCATTAATTTTCCTCTTCTAGAGTTGTAATAGAAGTGGGTCTACTTGCTAAAGAAAGTGGCAGCAGGGTGAAATGGAGAGTTTCATTCTGATTTCAAACCTTCACGCAGAAATTACAGCCTGGGAATGGCAAGTCAGGTGGTCAAGACATGGGTCATATCTAAGGGCAAATCAAATGGTGGTGATGTGTGCTCATCTGAAATTATGGTGTCAGTGTAAGAAGAAACTAAACTGGGAAAGAGAGATAATGTGAAAGAGGTGAACCGTGCATAGCCAGTTTAGGGGAAGTTCCAGTTAACTGCGTAGAACTCCTCTCATCTGTCTGCAGACATCCAAAAGCTAGCTAGTCCTGGGCCAACCCTATATTCTTCCTCCAAGAACTGATATGAATAGCTCATATAAACACCTGTTTTATGATGGGATCACTCACCATTCTGAGTATTTTTATTCTCCTGCTGTTGACTGTTGAGCACCCCCTTGCAACTAGCTCTGGAACTAAATTTGGAGTACTTGCACAGCTAATTACCATTATATTTATCTGCTAAAAATTAACAACTTTGGAGAGATGTGTTTGGGGAACTTCAACTCCCCATGTTTCTGTGGAATTTCAGAGTTTTCGTAGGCCACTTATGGCTGTACATCCTTAACAGCTGTTGTTTATGCTCCTTCTCCCTATTCATGTATGTTGGAAGTCTTATCAAATTAGTATTCAGATATCTGAATTTTCCTATCTATTGGTTTATACACTCAAAGGAGTCCCTCTCTAGCAGACTCTAGCTGATAGGTGAATCAGACTCAAAGCTTTTTGAATACTTTTTGACTGATAAATTTGCCTTTATCTGTTAATGCTGCTGTCACTTTTTTTTAGTCTTTGCTTTCCATAGACCTATTTGTCAATGTTTTTGTCTGTGAACAATATGCATGTAAGTACTTGCTACTGAAATTCATCTCTACTTGCAGAGGCTGTACAAGGAGCATGGAGAGAGTGTTAAGCATCGGTATACACCCACAACAGATCTTCCTGAAATCCTTCAGGCCAAATTAAATGCTATGAATATCAGTGAGGTATAAATCTGACCTTTAATATTTTAAAGGGAAGTGAAAAAGTTGATAGTGCTTTGCTGTTAGTCTTTCACAGGAAACCAAACTAAGTTTCTTTCCTTTCCCTAGTATATGATCATTCTATGGTCTAAAGGTTTCTGAAGTAATATGAGAAATCAAACTTCTCTTAACTTAGATTAAGAACAAATCTTAATTTTTATAATGGACATTTTTAATGTGACTATTCCTGTTGTATATTGATCATTTATGTTAGCCCTCTGTGTTGGAGTAGAATGAAACTAATGTGGTAACATTGCTAGGATAGCAATAGCATTGCTGTTATCAACCGTCTGAACAGCAACTCTTCTTTATATCCGTTCTGTATTTCCTAGATTCGCTATAAGGAGTCCTGGCAAAAGATGAAAGACGGTGGCTATCAACTGAAACTTGATGCCATTCCCTTCCAGGCAGCAAAGGCTTCGGGTGAAATCATAAGTGATGTATGTGAACTTACTGCTGATATTGTCCAGTAGGATATGTCAGTCACTCCAGACTGTTTCTGCCCTGCTGAGTGACACTTGATGGAAACAGCATGTCCTGATAACTCTACATCTGGGAGACATGTGGCCTTGGTCTAGTTAGTTGTGCTTTTGAATGTGCAACCACAATGAAGCGTTACTGGTAACTAAGCAAAGGAAGGTTTGCAAAAGCAAACATCCCCTAGCAAAAGTTGACTAACTTATCTGCTGTGACTGGACAATCACAGGGATTTTTCAGGGGCTGTCAGCCACTGTTAGCTAGGCAAGCTTTGGAAGAGATTGCTTATTCAGGAAGTTCTACTCTTCAGGGTTTGTCTTGAGTGTCCTTTAAAGGTTGTAGAGATATACAGATAAGTATAGGAGACCAGTTAGTTGTTCTGACTTTGCTAGAGAGCTGATGGGGAGAGGCTCCTCGGAGGTTGATTCTGAGGTTGAATCTGTACCAGGTTCTTGTCTTCCGCCACCTGTGTAATAGCAGGTATCTAACCCAAGCTGTTTGTAAGTGTTCATTGCGTTTTTTGTGTGTTTTTCTCTTGATAGGATAAGGTATTAAAATGTTTGCGCAGGTGATGTCCTCCAAGTATCCACTAAAGGTCCATTCAGATTTATTATCATATTGGGTATAGCCAGAATTTATTGTCCATAGCTCTCTTTCTATAACATGAAAACCCTTTTATTCAGGTTTTAACAATCTGACTAATACTTCTATTCACATTTCTATTCTTATTTCCTTTGTAGCACAAGTATAAGGAGGCGTTTCAGAAAATGAAAGGACAGATGCTTGGCTCACGTGGCCTGGAAGGTGATATTCATATTGCTCATTCAGTCCATGCAGCATCGTTGCAGAGTGATGTAAGTATAAGAAAGAAGATGTGGGCATTTTAGAACTGGCTTCCTAATAGTAAGTAGTTCCTCATGGAAGATGCACTAAGCTCTGTGGAATAGCTTACTATTTAAGAATTAGGGCTTTCTTCCCCAATTTCCAGATATGTTGGTATGATATTCTTACCATTGTTTTACATTATTTAAAATTCCATGAATTTGACAATAAGATTGTGCATTCTTGCACAAAGTCCTCCTGCATAACAGTAATGCCTAGCACAGAATATTGTACTGAAAGTGTCACTCAGAGGCTGATCTAACTGAGAGTTAGTAGTGTGTTTTGTACAAAAGTAAATTAGATTTGGTAGAGATATGAAGTTATTCAGTAACTACTTTCATTTTACTGTTTTCCTGAAAGACAGAAGGATGAATAAGTTTATGGAATTTCAAGTTGGAAAATTTTTGATAGGGAAATGGTTCCCACTTGGTCTTGATATATGCTAAGAATTACATTATTTGTTCATTGTCTGTAAGAATTGTGACTGTTCGGTGCATTTTGAACACTGTGGCTTGATCAGAAAGCAGTGAAATATTTGTCTGACTTTAAACACATAAATAATCTAAGAACTACATATCTTACCATAATTGTCCATAGTAAGCCTGATTGTGGATATAGATGGGAGAGTGTTTGTGGATTTCAGTGAGCGAGTGCTGAGCTTGTACTGGGATTCTCTTGTGTGATGGTACGTTTAGTCATACAGGTAGCGCTAAGCGTCTGAAGAATTCATCCATCTGTCAGGTTATTCTAAATCAGTTTGATGATCATCAATAACTCTGGATGTTCATTATCTGGATGAACAGCCTGAACATCTCAAATTTGCATAATCTGATAGGGAAATGTCATGTGAAAAAAGTTCTTTGAAGATTTTTACCTTTCTTTTCCTGAACAGAGACAGAATGGGAAAAAACCAACCACTAAAAATCACATTTAAAACTATGAAATGAAACTGGCTGAATCGATGGGTACCAACAAATAATTTGATTGAGGATTCGTGCTAATTGTAATATAAATATGGCTGTTTGCATTTATCCTCAGGCAGTAGCTTCACCTTTTTCTTATGCTTTCGAGAAATGCAGTGGATTAAAATTTCATTTATGAGTTTGGTAGTTCTATAGATTTAATGTATTCAGTTTTAACAAAAAAATAGAATGATAGCTTAATTGACTATAATGTAGATGGCTACTATTTTGATTAAGAATAGACTGCTACATATTCTAAGTATTGATCATTCACAGTATAGTTAAACAAGTTGGGAACTTACCTTTAGAAAGAATAATTTATACTGGATAATGGAAGAAATATGGAGAATGTGTCTTCTATTCAAAACCTGAATTCTAATTACCATGCTGTGCTATCTGTGTGATCTGGTTTTAATTTGATAGGTGAAGTATAAGCAAGGTTTTGAGGATACAAAGACTCACTTCCACCTGCCACTGGATATGATAAACTTGGTACATGCCAAGAAAGCCCAGTCTTTGGTCAGTGAACAAGAATACAGACAGCTGCTACACCAGTACACTTCTTTGACTGATGATGTGAGGTTGCGGTGTGCCAAGAATGCATACAAACTACAGAGTGAGGTAATCGCAAAGTATCCCAGCAATATTTCCCTGTTGGTTTTGATGCAAGAAAGTTCTGTTCCAAATCAAGAGAGCTGACAGTATGTATTTGAGCAGCAGCTGAGGGATAAACAATGGCTGTTCCCCCTTGATTACATTCAGGAATGAGACATCTGTCTTACTGGGCAGTTGGTACAGTGTGTGTGTACGCTATACCAAGAGGTAAAGAATAGTAATCTTAGATGATCTGGCAGAGAAGTGTTTGCAAGTGAGGATGATTGCACTGTTGGTAACATACTCTTTTTAAGATCTTGCTAACCACACAGACTGGTTGCCATCTAGTATTTGAGTTGGTTTGCATCTGGGTGATATTCATGTGTACTTCCACAAGGAAGATGCCTATTGTTAAAAATCTGACTTTTAAGACATTTATAAGCTCTGCCCCAAAACATAACCACTGAAATTCTAAGAAGGATGAGTTTAGCTCCCTACATAATCTTGAGTAAATTAACTGGATAATGCCTTACAAATTCAAGGGTAGGCTGTGTCTGTAGGCACAGCCCTGAGCAAAGGGCTTTTAATAGATTACATTGCCTCTGGAGACCTCAGGAGGGGCTGTATCTGGCTCCAAAATCCTACCGTATATCAATTTAACATTTTCAGCCAGCAATCTTAAAGATGTCAGACTGTGTTCAAAAAGTATAAACATCAATTGCCAGTTGTGCTGCCCTAACTTTGATGAAAACACATGTAATCAGAGATTCTGGGACAGGTTTCCATCTGTGCCTTTCTTTGAGTTGGGAGTGAAATGTTGGTTGGCAGCAACACAACTCAAGAGTGCAGAATGTGCTCTCTCTGGTGCTAATAGCTGAAATTAGACAAGAGACCACCTTTAGTATTGTTCTCTCTTTCCATTTCATGAAGAGTATTTCCTGTATGCAGCACCATGAGGTCTTTGAGTCTAGAGATTAGACCTGGATGGAAGGGTAGCTGGTTCTCAATAAAAAGAAGGCATAGTCCTTTTCCATTATAAGTAGATAGCTGAACCAAAACACCTCATTAACTAAAGCTAGTTCTTCCCACAGTAAGCAGTAGCAGTTTCCACGTATCCATCAAGTAGGCAAATCTGTGCTTTCCTAGTTATTTGGTCTGTATAGTTCTTTCTAAGCAGAAAATCCCCCTCCACACACTTATCATCATCAAATGAAATAATATTTGTCCTAATGTATCTGCTAATAACCTCTTGGTAACTTTTGAAAAAGTATTTACAAGGAGTCCCTGCTGGGTTTGGTGGTCTGGAAAACATTTTAACAAAGTCTGTATAGTGGCTTATAGTGGTATTTTTCCTTAATGTTCCCTAATTATATTTGACTATTCGGAGCTATTAAACCTGAGGCTATTTTGCCTGCAATTCCACGTACTAAAAGGTTTCCAGCTTTTATTTAAAAGTCTTTTCATATACTTTTCTAAACTGGTCTTACATATATTTATAAATAAATAATACCTATGATTTAGATGTTATATATGAAGAAAATTCATGTATCTAGGAAAAGGTTTTTCAAAGTTACAAATGAAAGTTAGGAGTCCGAGTATCATTCAGTGTTCATGAGACTTAGTAGTCCTCAGAATCTTGCCTCTGTACTGTAGAACGCACGCAGACACATAAAGAAAGACAAGAATGTAAGGTAATGCATATGAACTCTCTGGTAGATACTAATTTTAAACGGATTTATTTGAATAGTGTATATATTTGGATGAATAAATATAGGGCATCTCAAATGCAAACTTGTAATTACTTCTGCTTGGTTTTCCTTAGAATTTATACCGGTCTGACTTGAACTTTATGCGAGGAGTTGGATGTATTACTCCAGGGGCTCTAGAGATTGAAGGAAAGAAGAAAGCTTCTGAACTCATCAGCGAGGTAACAAAAGAGGGGTTTGATTTCCCCACTACAAACAAGAATTTGCCAGATGTCTTTCTATTAAACTGGGCTGGCAAAGTGACTCACTGGATAATGCTAGGCTCCCTCCCCTTACGTTTGATCATTCTGTGCGTGTCCTAACTGCAGATGGGTGAATCTGAAGGAGTTCAAGGCTTTGCAGACTTTGCTAATTGTTTTCATAAATCTTTTCTCCTGTGTTTCAGACTCAGGAGGTTGTTATTTTATGTTATTTATTTTAGAATTGATTTTGGTTTTTTCAACTAAAAATCAGGCTGTGCCTATGTAAGTACCTTGTACTGTTTCTCTAAAATTAGGCTGACCTGTGGAGGACCCAATGTATTAATTACACTGTCCTGAGTTCTGCTGCTGCTTTACAGTCTTAGTCTGGTTTTCACTTGCTGCTTTTGTGTACTATTGTTTTCAATATTGATTTTGCAGTGATCTTGCAGTTATTTTGCTCGCAATTCTGACATAGGACCACAGGCCAGGTGCAACCTTGTTTGTTTCCCAAAAAAGTTCAGCAGGCTTGTGCAGCACCTTCTCTCTGAGCGGGTTTGCCTTTACTGCAATTCCACTAGACAGGGTTAATGACACCAAGGAGTGAAATAACCTCATTACTGTATTCAGCATAGCAGCACTTTGTTTTTTTTACACCTTGTTTCTTATGTACTTTTCATTTCCCCTGTGAGACTTGAATGCATCAAATTGAGAGTAGCAAAAGGTAAATTAGTTTGATGGTCAATAGACACATACACTTTCCAAGTAAAGTTTTAGGCACAAGAAGGAATACTAGACCACTGGTGTTGGAAAATCCCTTAACTGACAAGACACTTTAGTTATTCTGTTCCCTTTTCTTTGTGTGTGAACTCAGAGTAAATATCGTCAGCAGCCACATTCCTTCAAGTACACATCGGTGACAGACTCTCCTGGCCTCCTTCATGCAAAATTCAGCAATATGATTGCTAATGAGGTAGGTTCTCCTAATGTGAGTGAGAAAATATGCCTTTCAAAATGCAGCAAGCTAGGGATGGAGGAGTGGGAAAGAGACAACCCTGTTCTGAAAGCAAAATGCATCAAAAAGAAAGCAAGCATCACTGATTTGTGCTTTTTCACAGTCAGATCATGTTTTATTATTTCCAAACATTTAATACCATTTTCAACTCAATCTCTTTTAAAAAGCTAAAATAGTACCCATACAATAGAGTTCCATTGTCAGGTTTTGTAAGTGAAACAGAGCCTCAAAAGATCAGCTCTTTGGGGTGTTCTTGAGGGAGCTCATTTGCATAGTATAGTCCACTTTAAGGGGCTCCTAAAAAAAAAATCGCTTTTCTAATTTGGGAAAAATGCAAGACGAAGCCCACAGGCAAGTTATCAAAATCATCTATAGCAACATGAAGAAAAATCCAAGCTGGAAAACATGGCCAGTCCAACAAAAATGCCTACCTTTTTATTTAACACACATTCATGATTTGCTTAATGTTCATAGGTCTACTTCGGGCCTGCTGGCAGCATAACAGTGCAAGGCTAACATGATTTATGTCTAAAAATTAATATCAAAGTTTTCTCTGTCCAGAAGAAAACCCCATTGCAATTGCAGTGGTATATTCTTAGCTGTTTTTTGTGCTGGTTGACTATAGTTGTCATAATCATAAACAACTTACATCCTGCTGTTACATTAGTGAAACAATAAAGAAAATGAATTGCAATTGCCTTTTTGATCTCTTTCCTAGCGCCTGTATAAAGCGGCGGGAGAGGACAGTCAACATCACTATACACCAACACTGGGTCTGCCTGAGTTTACACGGGCAAGAATAAATGCAGCCAACCTCAGTGATGTAAGAATTTGTTCTGTATTTCTTACATTTCTTGGGATGGAGATGAACTGTACAGTGGCAGGAAAGATGGATATAAGTAGAGGACTTCTTAGGTCTATTCTGTTCTTTCTTTTCTTGATTTGATTATAATGATATCTGTCTCCATTAGCATATATAAGGTTGTGAGTAAATTAAATCTACATAAAGAACGAGACATGTTTTGTCTGCGTTAGTAGGATTTCCCAAAGATAATTTAAAAAAACCCTTTGATTATGAAGAATGCGACTGTAATGCAGAATAACAAATGAAAGAGGGTTCCTTTGTTTGTTCCTTTGTGCATTTGAAAGTGAAACAGCAATCTACATGTGCCTTTCCTACTTTAGGCAAAATACAGAGAATCTTGGCATAATCTGCGTGCTCAAGGCTACAAGCTGACAACGGAAGCACTCCCGTTCCAGACTGCCAGGGCCTCCAGAGAAATTGCCAGTGATGTGAGTTGAATGATTCAACCTTCCTTCTTGCCTAATTCTTGTTAACTTCATGTAAAACAATGTCTAAAGCAGATTTTACTGAATTAAAGCAACTCCATAACCATGTGAGACAAGTGTGAGACAGAATATATTACTTATGAATGAGATTCTTTGTGTGAATTAAAAAAAATAAAGAGGAGGAAGAATTGCCTCTAATCGGGAACCAAGGTCGGTTAAACATCTTCCAGTGGGAAATAGCTAGTGAATTAAAGTATTTGCAGACAGACAAATCAGAGGGATTCTGCTCCTTTCCAGGTTTTCAGCTCCTCATGTTATTAAGTGCCCACTAATTCTGTCCACCCTTCTTTGAGCTTATTTTTAGAAGTGCTTAGTGCTCCTGAATTGAAATAAAGGTAGAAGAAGCTGAGTGTTCTTTGAACGTCTGAAAATCAGGAGCTGCCTGTCTGGTTAGGAAGTGAAAATCAGGGAATGCTCCTATAAATATTTGTTCCCTTAATTTAGGAAATAGAGGAAGCAAATCTTATACTTAAAAATATCTTCTTGTCTGGATTGTTGTTTGCAAACCCCTCAGACATGGCGGTATCCATTTCTCAGAAAGCCTAAGTTCATCCCTTCCCCAGAAGAAATTTAATAAATTCTAGGAAAAACTGACAACTGAGCTAAATTTGGTAAAAGAATTCTTCATTTTATGTAGTATTTAGTTGCATATTTAATCTCTAATGTGATAAAATATGGATATATTACATGTATATTTGGTTTATGAAGCAACTGTTTCTAGCTGTCATTTATAATGTATACTTAACCATATTTTGCAGAGTGCTTTTGGTTACAGCTTCAGATCTGCTCTAAAGGGTACAAGTCCATAATAGAATTACATCCACTTACAACAGATCTGAATTTGGTCCTTCATCTTGGAAGCACTTTATAAACATTAGCTACTGTAATTTAATCCCCACAACTCTCTTGTGTGGTAGATAAGTGTTATTATCCCATTTCAACTACATTATGAACTCTTCAGGGCCCAGGCCTTCCCTTTAAAGTTCCAAGCACCCTGTTGATGCTGTATAAATAATCATTATCATCATCATCACTATTTCACAGAGAGGATAAATGCAAGATCATAGGGAGAGTCATAGTCCCAGCTAAGATGAGAATGAGGGGTTGCTGGTGCTTATTCTTGTGCTCAGATCACCATCTTAGGCTTCTCAACATAGTTATTGATCCAGGAAAACTGAATTTACTCTTTAAAATAGCTGGGTAGCATTTGCAAATGTGAAGGCTACAGAGTGCATGATGTTTCTCTTTGGTATAGATTTTTTATTCTGCCTTGTGTTTGTTTTTGTTATGTTCTCATTCCTAGCGATAGGAATAAAACTGAGAGATAATAAAAGTACATGAACTGAGGTTAAACATGATCAATGCTTTGGGCATATTCAGAGAGTGTATTGAGGTGTGTTTAATGTTGCAACTACTGTGGTATTTAAATTGAGAGCAATGAGAGATTCAAAGACTTAATTTCTAGTGCTGCATACTTTGGTTGTTTTTACAGACAGCATAGATGATTCAATGACTTATCCTAATTTAGTTACAGCATCCAGTCTAAGTTTGGCACTGTTTTACTTTTACCCTTTTTTATTTTTAGTACCACTATAAACACAACTTTGTGATGGAGAGGGGAAAGCACATTGGTGCCAGAAGTGTTCTGGACGACATCAGGTTGCTGCATTGCCTCCATGCTGCCAAATTACAGAGTGAACAGGAGTATAAGAAGAGGTCCCAAGAAGTGTGGTCTCAGTACCATCTGCCCATGGACATGGTGAACCTTGTCCATGCCAGGAAAGCCCAGGCCTTAGCGAGTGATCAAGATTACAGACGGAGACTCCATGAATTTACAGCAGTCCCAGAAGACATGAAGATGAAGTGGGCCAAAAGAGCCCACATGCTACAGAGTGAGGTAAAGACTAACCCTTCTCTTAATAGCAAATTGAATTTAGGAGTAACACAGCTTTGAGTGACCTGTGCGGATGATTGTGAATTGACATTGGGCAATGTGTTTAGAAAGACTGTTTGTAAACTTATGTATGTGTAGTAGCAAGATATCTGATTGTTCCTCACATATGGAATATACGTGAATTAGAAGTTTCTGTGTTATGAACATAACAGAAAATCACTGTAGTCCATGTTACTTATTCTAAAGCTGAGGGATCTACACAATCATCTCTCAGCTGTTTGGATCACGGCCAGTCAGTGGTTTGACAGCCAATGCTCTATATGCAGAATTCTTGGAGCAGAAGGTTAAATGCTCAGAGGTTGATTTGGGATGTGTTAGAAAGTCATTTTGCAAGCAGAAATATCCATATCAAATAACCAGTTCCCCAGATGTGTTTGCAAAAATTGCTCATGAAAATGGAAGTTTGAGGCCCTCAGTGATACAGTTTAGTGGTGGTCTTGGCATGCGGTAATGGTTAGACTTGATGATCTTAAAGGCCTTTTCCAACCTGGCTGATGCTATGATTCTGTGATAAATTCAGACAAACTTTGATGACAGAAATGATGGAATCTTAGCATGGGCCACATCTATGCTCATTTTGCCTTAGGCCCTTTGTTCAGGGACAAGCCATTGGCTATACGTGCTTTTAAACCGATGTAGATGTTGAGTGCATGCATAAAGCTGCATAGATGCACACAGATGTATTGTGACAGTTTAGGGTCCAGGGTCATGAGCTGCTCTGTAGCAGGAAGCTCTGCCTAAAGAGGGACAGGGTAGGAGGTAAGAACCTCAGCACTTGGCTCTTTGCCTTTAGACCCCACAGGTTAGAAATCCAGAGAAATTATAAAGGTAGTTTTGTCTGATACCCCAGTATGTAATAATGTACAACATGCTTGAGCTAGCCGGCTGTTATGTCTTTTTGCATATAGGGCAAAAAAAAAAAACCCTGAAAAAACAGATGATTGGATTAAAGTCACACAGTCAGCCACTGTCACTCTGAAGGAGAAGTCAGAATTATTGGGAGTGTGGGTGCTTTAGTGGCTTTCACCTTTTATTGGGTCTGCCTTGCTTTCTTTACTGGATTAGGAGGTAGAGCAAGCCTTTCATGTGAGTAAAGAAAGAGTAATGTGTCCTCCTAGAAATGGGGTTAATGAGGAAGTGTACACCAGATAAAATAATTAGTATTCCTGACTTGAACTCACCTCAGAAAATTATTTCAAAAGGGATTCTTTTACGCCCAGTACAAACAGGTTATTACAGCTTTGAGTCATACTAATTCACTCGTGGGGCCTTCTCTTGTAACTTGCATATGATACATTATTTAATTCCTGGTGGAATGAACAAATGCAAACAGTTTGGCTTTCCTACGTGATATGTGCATGGCAAATGAAAACCCACAAAATGTTAATAGGAATCAGGGAGTCTTTTTAAGAAACCTTAATAGCTGTGGATACAAAGCTGATGGCTAACGATTTTCATTTTTAACAGCACCGCTATAAATCAGACCTGAACTTCATGAAAGGAGTTGGTTGGATGGCTCTAAGATCTCCGCACATAGAAAGTGTAAAGAAGGCTGGAGAGCTCATCAGCGAGGTAACTGATAAATCTTTCATGGGATAGCACGTCTGTAGGAATTGTTTACCATCAAGGCTCCTCGTTACATGACACTTACGAATGTAGCTTATCATTGCCTTTTGATGTGGGAGCCTGTTTATACAAGGTGTAAGTTACCAAGAAGCAGTACGGGAGATGCAAGTCCACTGTGTGACACCTGCTGAATATTTTCCATTCCGAATGAAATGCAGGAGTATAAACAAACTATGTAGTAATAAATAAATGCAGTAAACTCCATTATGAAATTCTAAGCAGGTGGTTACGGAAGTGATATAGAAAGATATAGCATTGACAACCACACTGAAGGGACATTTGCCTGTTCAGTATCATACATTAATGGAGAAAAATTATGAGCTGTCAAAAGTGTAGTGTTCAAAAGCTTTTTGCATGTGAATTTTCAGTGGGAAGTCCTTCTTGCACACACAGAAAAGGAAGTTTAGTGCCTGGGCACCACAGCAAAGATACGGTGATATGCCCATTCCCTAGCTGAAAGAGCAACTGAGACTATAGCAGAACAGTATGTTTTTAATACTGTGGCTTAAGGAAGGTGGCTTTTATGTGTTACTCCAGTTATCACATGCTTGGAATTGTGATATATCATTAACAGAAACATTCTGTGTTTTATTTTTTCTTTGTTCATGTTGCCTCCTCTCCCTCTCAGATAAAGTACCGTCAGAAGCCAGGAAGTTTGAAGTTCACTGCTGTGGTTGACTCTCCAGATTTGATTCATGCTAAAAACAGCTACCTCCAGTGCAGTGATGTAGGTTTCATTTTACTATAGGTGATCTTAACTTTTGTTGTACTATAGTGCATAAAAGAATTGATCTCAACATTACCTCCAGTATCAGTTGCATTTAATGACTTTTGACTCCACAGAGACTGTACAAGGCTGGAGACTCTGAAGCTATGCACAGGTACACCCTGCCTCCTGACCATCCAGATTTTATCCGAGCCCGCCAGAATGCCCTTCACCTCAGTGATGTAAGTAAGCCTTTTACATCACGGAGTTGACTTGGTACACTTGCTAGGGAATCAAAACTTCCATGTATATGTAGAAGCCAGGTTCTCTGAGCCTGACAAAAACTAGAAAAGCCAGAGGTTGTGGACAGCCAACATGTTGCTAGGTTTGGGCTGGAAGGATCAGGAAATCTGCTGATGTTTATTTTGAGAGCTAGTTCTACTTTACAGGGCAGGAAACTATTATTATGGATTTCAGTCCTTCAGTATAGATCTGCTTAGTTACAAATTTAAATCTCTTTACATATGTTTGGATGGGGGAGAAGAGAGAATCCTCTTTCCTTGACTGTATAATCTACCTGTACAACACTGTGTTGAACTGATCCTTTAGGCACACTTGTCATCAACCTGGATGCAACTGAATCAGTGAGTGGAATTGGTTTAAAGGGATTTTGTTTCCATGTTAATCCAGACAGAGGCACTCGGTCTGTTCCTAATCTACTGTTCCCAGATTAAATACTTTTGTCTTTAACTGCAGGGTCACAGTGATAAGAAGCTTTGAGTTCCTAGTTTGGTGATAGGTGCTCTATTGGTGAAAGAAACAAGTAGAATTCACATTCTTTGAAGTGGTAGAGAAGAAGGTAAAAAGGCAAAGGGGTGATTGCACACATATGAAAGGTCAGCTCTAGACCTGTTAGCAGGGTGTGCAGTAATGCTTGCATTGCTTCTGCCCAGGCTAACTTGCAGGATTTCTGGCATCTCAGTTTACCTTCAAATTTACCACCACCTAGCACTAAATTCATGAGTGAAACAGAAGAATATATTTTAAAATGTGAAGTGGATTTTGTGCTTGTTTTCATGTGGTCACAAAACTCAGAGAGGGTAAATCAAACACTGAAAGCAAATGAATAAAGTGACAGCCAATAGTGTCAGTTCAGGTATCATGGCTGTGTAGCAGGACCTGCAAACTGGAAACTATTTTAAGAAAGCTACTGATGGGAGAAGAAGGAAATCTAGAGCAAATTCTCTTCAGGATGTAAATGTATTTCACATCCTCAAAGTCACATTAAATATGTTAGAACTGGCTGTTGCTCCATATGAGTTAATGAAGCCACATGTGGCTGGGGATAGAGACAGGGATCATTTGAAAAGCTTGAAATAACTGGTATTGAAATTATGATGCCATGAAACCCAAGACATTGCAAGTGGATGCATCAAAAGAGAGAATAAGGGCAATAGCAATGCAATATTGATGTGACTGATGCATCACAGATTCTAATAGAAATTAAATCACATCAAAAACAACCCCATTCAAGTACAAAAGGAAACCCTGGTGGCACTTTTCAGATGAGGCATTTTATCATTATGGTGAATAGAAAAGAATTTGAAGTGTTATAGAAGTGGATCAAAACCTTGGAGATAGTACTGATGACTCTTGATACAAATAAGCCCAGTAGGATAAAACATTTATTATTGCCGTTATGGGACTGCATTTAGGAAACTGCAGGGGGAAATGACTCTTTTGTTTCTTTCTTTTCAACACAGAAATTGTATAAAACATCTTGGGAACAGACAAGGGCATCTGGCTATGATTTTAGGATTGACGCCATCCCATTCCAGACAGCAAAGGCTTCAAGAGAGATTGCTAGTGATGTAAGCATCGTTCTGTTTTAAACACTTCCCAACCCTCTTCCCATGCCACCCCCACCCTGTAAAAAGGAGTGAATTCTGATTTAAGTGAACTTTGTTCTGGTTTGGAAAATTGGTGATCCAGTGAATCCAAATGCCAGTTATGTGCAAAGATTTCCAACTAAAGGCCCCCATTAATAATAATAATAATAATAATAATAAAAACAGGCTGCTCTGTTTCACTTCAAAGAGTTATTCTTAAGAAGGAGGCATATTATAATGTAGTTAAATAAAATAGGTACTAGGCTATGAATAAAGCATTGTCTAGAATAAGTGGGTCACCTTCGAACACAGAAGACCACAGTTGGCAAAAAACCATGAAGATGAAGGAGCTGTTGCTTGAGCTGTGTACTGGGTGCACCCGAGAGTGCAACAGTAAGAAGACCTCTTGTTGCTTTTGAGAGGTGAGTATTTTGGGGTCCCTAAGTCCTTGTACTCCTTTAAAGATTATCACAAAGGGCGTTCTTCCAAAGTGTCGTGTTAGATTAGGAGATGTAGTTTGTTAGCAAACCAGCCCTTGATGTTTGGGCACTATAGGATCTAGGAGAGGGTAAGTTATTTCATTACAGAACGTGAAGGCATTCTGAATGTGAAAATGAGATTTTTCTCTGCACTTCATGCAGTACAAATACAGAGAAGCCTTCCTGAGAGACAGAGGCCAGCGGATTGGATTCCTCAGTGCAAATGATGATCCCAAAATCAGGCATGTCCTCAGAGTGGGGAAACTCCAGAGTGACAATCAATACAGGAGTGGATATGCCCAAAACATGACCCAGTTCCAGAGTCACCTCAACCAGCCAGGATTCCTCCATGCTATGAGAAGCCAGCAGCTTGCAAGCAATGTTAACTACAAGCAGCCTTTTCACCAATACACTTGTGATCCTGAGCAGCTAAATGTGAAGCATGCAAAGCAGGCCTACAAGTTGCAGAGTGATGTAAGTATAGCTGAATGACACTGCCTTTCCAAGTGTTAAGAGCTGTCTGTGGTAATGTGCTTTGCAGACCTTACCTATCAACAAAATCACATTCTTGAAAGAACTACAGTCTGCTGAAAATGAATATTCTATTTATTGTAGACTCTTTATATACTCTTTCTTGAATACACAGTGTGTGGTTTGATTAGAGCCAAAGAAAGTAATACACACTGGTGTATGTTTCATTCTCTCAGGTAAAATACAAGTCTGACTTGAACTGGCTCAGAGGCATTGGCTGGACTCCCCCAGGTTCTCACAAAGTCGAAATGGCAAGAAGAGCCGCTGAGTTGGCATACCTTCGGGAAATGGCATTGCAGGGTTCTTCTGCCCAGTATGGATACGGAGTTGTAAGTAGAGTAAACTGTTCTTCTCACAAATCCCAAGAGCTCTGCTCTCTAGATAGCAGACAGGCACAGAGCCTGTTGAGTCCTCGTGAATGCTTCCCAAAGTCTACAGTTCTGCCTATTATTTCAACAGAATACGTATATTTCCCACACAAAGCTTTGTGGCTTTGTGTCACCTTAATTTGAAGGAACCTCTCAAAGGAATTCAGTACTTTCATGGCTGAGCAGCTCCTGTAGGGACTAGGAAGTGCCATGGGATAGGATTTACTTATACTATGGGATGTGTTTCCCCTAACTTGTAAACGTCAGCTCTCTAAGTGTCCTGGTACCTCCACAGCAAGCAGAAGTAGAGGTGGAAGGGACTTCCTGTAAAATTCTCCTTCTCTTTTCCTAGTCTCAGCAAGACACCATGTATTGCTTTGTGTATTGCCGTGTAATCTCCACTGGCAGCTGCATGGACAGACTCAGTGTAGACTCCTGAGAGTATAATGTGTGCTGTACGGCTGTATATCTGTGGGAGGCTCTCTGCAAAGGAGGAATACTCCAGCCTCCTCCATGTCTGTCCAGCTCAAGATGCAAGAAATTACAAGCCATGATCTTCCAGGTTTTCCTGGAATATCAGCACTTGTATATACTCATTTCATTTAAGTTTTAACTTTGGCAACAAGTCAAACAGTAATCCAGGCCAAGAGAAACACAACATATTCATGATTTACATTCCCATCTGAAAAGTTACGCAGGAAATAAGTTACTGCTATGATTGACTAATGCAAGCAATGGGGACTGCAGGCAAATATCTTCTTAAGCCCCAGGTATGATAATGATCTGATCATCCCAGGGGAATTTACAGGTCTGCAATCCACCAGGAGCTCAGGTGTTTGCTTGGTTTAGGGCTCAAACGAGAAATTAAGACTTGAGCACGTTCAGTCCTGTGAGATGTGTAGTATTTAACTTCCATGAGCATCTCCGTTTTGTGCACTTCTCTGCTGTAGAGGTTTGCTCAGTGCAGAGCAGTGATTTAGATTTTGCTCGTTTGTTTGCCAGTTACGATAATTTTTAATACACAAATATTTTAATGGAATAATAGATAATCTTTTTGCTGTCGACTGGCTGTCCTCACAATTCATTTGGGTTTCATTTTACAGGACCAGCTGGGGACAGAAGGATCTCAGCAGGCCACAGTCAACCCTGATGCTTCAGAAATTCTGCAATTCAAGAGAAGAAGAATGCAACTGTATTAGAAGTAAACAGAAACATGACATAACAAATAGATTTTTATCTTGTCCTGCAAATCCTGTAGTTTTACTAGTTTTCTGGGAAGCACAATAAATGGTGTCTAAAAACTTCTTGTTTTAAAAAGCAACCTGAACATTGCAATTTGTAACTGAGCATTTTATTTTTGTGTGGATACTCAGTGATTTATCACTGTATGTATTACAGAATCTGATATTTATTTGAAGCTGTAAATGAAACTATAATACTAGGTGACTGGCAGGCTCAGCTTTGTACTACAGATGGATTAACCTGATTGGTAGAATATAAAATAATTTGTAATGAATAAATCAGATGAACCTCATTCCATACTTGTAGTAATTTGAGATTTTTGTATTCCTGGTTTATTGGCACCTTTGACCTAAGAGAATACAAGAGCATGATTCAGGTGGCTTAACAGATAAACAAGAGAAGGGCCAGTGAAAGCAAAGTGATCATTGACTAACCAAGGGCAGGCCTTTGTGGACATCAGAGAATTTGTTCTTGATTAACAGGATGTATTCAGGTCACAATTAGTTCTTCAGTCTTTTTCAAATCTTCCAAAGCAAAAAATCAGAATGAATTTGTTAGAAATTCTCACTATAGGGGTAGCTATTGATAAATTAGGGAGCTGCTATGGGCAGGTTGTAAACCCTGGAATTCAGATGAAAAGGACTCTTCACAAATGCATCTAGTCTTTACATCCTGATTTAGAATTGTAGAATTATAGAATGGTTTGGGCTGGAAGGCACCTTCAAAGGTCACCTCGTCCAACCCCACCTGCAATGAGCAGGGACATCTTCAACTGTATCAGGTTAATAGACTTAATGCTAATCCCCTGTTTTTCAAATTTCTGTGCAGAATCATTGGGCAAAAATGACAATTTGATTTGCAAAACTTATGAAACCCCAAGAATTATCCAATAGCTTTACAACCATACCTTTAAATGGGATTTAATACCCTCTAGGTCTCACTGTGTTTGAAGTTAAGCACACATATACCACTGTAGATCTGTAGCATATTAAGTAATGATCCTCTAATCAGGATAAAGTGGGTAATCCTAGTACTGATTTTTTGTTTTTCTTTTCAATCTGGAATGAATCACTGATGGAATTTGTGGTTTTTTGCCCTACAGAAATGCGTATAAAAATAATTCTCCTGCCTAATGCTCCGTCCTCAGATAGTTCCAATGGCTGCAGTCTTGCAGACATAGGCACAAGACGATTTTAAAGCACGTGAAAAATGGTACTGGCTTTAGTATCGATCACACACCAATAGCTTTGAGGTGTTGGGGGTCCAATGAGTGCAGAAAAAGCACACCTTAGACAGGAGGGACATGAGGGGAAAAAAGAATGTCTGGCAGCAGCTGAGCCTGCAGACTTTTTAAGGCTTAAAAAGCAGAACTGGAAACACTGGGAACTGCAGCTCTGATCGATTTGGGGAGGAACTGGAGTTGGTTTACTTTCTGCTCTGTTTTGCTATGAAACATGTGCTTATTTCAAAGCCCCCAACAGAACACTGCCACTGACATTCTAGCAAACGCTCTAAGGCTGCTTTCAAGATGGTGCTGAGGGATGCCCCATGAGAAAATATCAATAGCGTTTTTGGTCGAAGAGGAGATGTTTGGGGAAACAGTGAAAATAAGTAAATGTCTCAAGCTTACCATGTGTCATTCCGAAGCTGTCTCCTAATGAAGTGACCTAGACTCAGTCTGAATTGTGGATTTAATCCAACTGAGAAATGTTGTCACCTGGGTATAAACTCCTGGCTTGTTTTTTAACCCACAGCCCTCACCCCAGCTCACAAGGCCATATACGTAGTAGAAGCCATCTTCTACACAAGTCAGTGGGCCTCCGGAGTCTCCCTGATGAGAAGAAACACACATGTTCAAAACCTGAAGGAAAATGTTAACCAAAATAAGAGTATTCCTCTCTCATCATAACATTTTGAAGCTGCAATGATGCTTTTTCCTTATCAGATGTACCACCAGATGCTGCTCAGTGCCTGAGTAGGCTTGCAGTTCCGGAACCAGGTCAAATGATGCCAGACTTTTTGGGTGTAACTTCTTGTTTGTTCAAGTCTGTGACATACATCTGACCAGGTCACGTGAAATTTCCCAGGCATGAAAGTACAAGGCATTCAAGAGTCTGAGCTCAGAAAGATAAATGGCCTAAATAAAAATACTTGATCTCTCCCACACCCCCCAACATAACTTTATTCTGAGCTGGTTGGTGTCATTGTTTAATTGGTGATTTCAGTTGCAAAGTATGCTTACAGTGGTAATTTGTACTTTAGGAAGCATTGTTCAAACTCTTCCCTATCTTTAAGCAGTATAAATATGAACTTGCTTCACATTTACACTGATTGTAATGAGAAGAAATACCAATCCTGACTTTCCTTGCAAGTCTTAGCCGTGATAGTGAAAATCAGATTAGAACTGGTGCTCATGGTAGAGGCCATAATAAAACGGAGAGGAAAAAAGGCAAGTTTTCAGGTTATGACAAAGTGCCTTCAAAGCCAAACTTTCCAGGCTAGTCTCTAACTTCCATAGATCTGCCTGTGGCTGACAGTGACAACATTAGCTCTAGGGATTTACATCTCAAACTGTACTGAAGAAAAGATGATGGCTGTTGAAATACGCTGATGGGAGAAACAGATGCATATGCAGCACCCTGCCAAAGCTATTACTGTGCACAGCCTGACTATTTACACAAAAAATTAATGTTCAAATACAGAAAAAGTAACAGACCTGACAAGAATCAGCTCCCGGTCTCTGAAAGTTTCCTGCACAAAACATGCTTTCATCCAGTCTCTGATCATATGCTCTGGGTGCATTGCATTTCCTCTGCGAAATCAGCTTGACGTTGACATCTAACAGCTGATGGGATAAGTCATCTATGGATGTGCACCAAAAAAATGGAGTCACCTTCCTCCCAATCCTGTTATGTATTGTCTTTGTTCAAAACACGAGCTTGCTTCCCATTGGGATGGGAAGGGGGAGCAGCAGGGGAGGAAGCATGTGCTAGCCTGGGAAGGAAAGACGTATCTGTCTGAAATGGTATGGGTTAGAGTTGGAGCCTGGAAGCTTTGCTCAGGACACAGAGTTGCTGCCTGAGTAGTAGTAAGGTCAGATATTCAGAATTTGGCTCCCATCAGCTCTACCAATGTAATCCTGCATTTCAGAGGTGCTGGCTGTCTGCAGCTTCCACGGGTCCCAGAGTGGGACTGCAAGCGGCTCAGCACTTCTCAGCCTGCTGCCATTAGATGTTTTAACGCACGAGCTAATGAAACAGATGAAAACTGAAAATCATGCAATATTTAAGGGCAACGATTAATTACAGTGAATCTAAAGACATAACTTGACATCTAAAGGCAATAGCCAAGATTTCAAAGCACTACATCTGTAGATAATTAAGGGTGGTTTATAAGTTTGGTTCTTCTTGAGTTTCAGGAAATATTCCATTTCTGCAGTGATTTCCTGCAATGCTAATAATAGATCTGCTCAAAGAAGGAGCCATCTAGTTTGAAGACGTACAGGGTACCTGAGACTCTTTGTTGGGGAAAGAGAAAAATAAAATTCCCCGTACCTTTTTTAAGAGAGACTTTTTATTTGGAATTTTTAAAACATGTCCATTAAATTCTGTTGGTGCATTCTGATCAAATGAACACGCTTGTCTCTTGTGGACTTCAATGAGAGCTACATCAGAAGGGAGAATTTGGTCCTATGTATCGTATCAGGCTGAATCAGTCACAAAGCACTAGGACACCTACTGCAGCCTCAGTGACACATTTTCCTTCTGCTGCTTTACAGCAACACATCAATCAGAACATGAGAAAATGCATTTTTCAGAAAATTGCCATTATCTTTTTTTTTAAGCATAGTAATTTCTCCCCTTAGGATTTACCACGGGCAGGAAAGGTTTGGGACAGAGCTGGTTGAACTTGAAAAGCTTTGGATTTTCTTTTTCTTCCTTATTTTTCAGCACATCTGAAGATCCAGATGCTGCTTCTGAAAAGCTTTTGCTGACCCAATGGGCTGGAAAACTGTATGAAAGTTCCCATCTTTCTTAGTCCTGTCTTGAAACACACAAACTCTATATTCAATAGCCTCTCTCTTGGTATCTCCTTGCTTCTGTTGCTGGCTTCAGGTGAAACCATGACATGGTGTGTCAGGTGGCAAGCAAAAAACACTGCGTGAGGGATTTTTGCAGAGCTCTGAAAGGTTTGGTTGGTCTTAGCAGTTGGAGATTTCTGCTAATGAGTGGTTTCCATGGCAGGGTTTAGCCATCCTAAGATGAACGAATTCATCTAATTCATCATGTCTTCAGACATGAATTCCATGTCTTGGTTTCACTAAGTGTCTAGGTCCACATTTGGGTCTGGCAATTGCTACTGAAAGAACCAGCCTGTCTTGCTATGGAATAGACCACAGATACCTTTCTCTGTGGCACCCCATCCTGAAACGAAGCAGTCAGTCCCATCGGGAAAGCGAACGTAAGGCAGACACACTGTTTTCACATACTTTGTTTCCACTGCACAGTGACCATCAACTGGCTTCAGCTTAAGTAGTGCTGGAGAGAAGAGAAACAGCAACTTTTATTTATTTGGAGCTAATTTTAATCCCAAGCCATCATACCAGGCTGTGACACGACCCCAGGCAAAGCTGCATGTACCTGACAGTGCTATTTACACTCCATGCTGGACCTATCCCTGTTGTTTTGCTCCTCCCACTTCTGCCTGCCCATCAAGAGTCACATCCCAAAAATTCAGATGGGTCTAAGCCACAGTTTGGCCTAATTATTTGCAGGATATAGCCTCAATGAGAATTTTACATTGACGTTAGCTGGGGAGAGGCACTTTGAACCACTGAGATTGGAGGTGTGTATTCAATAAAAAGGATTTACCAATATCGTTGTGTGGGACGTCATTCTTCGTTCTGTAGTTGTAATGTTTGATGATCTTCTCCACATCAAATATTTGCTCTTGAGGCTCTCTCTTCTTGAGGTTCTGCTTTCCAAGTGCTACTTGGAGATATTTTGCTGATTGCCTGAAATAGAAAATAAATCACGTTCAGTCATGGTCTATCAGTGGTGGTGAAAACCTGCGCCTTTAGCAGCTGCAAATCAAGATATTCCTTCCTGTTGTAGAGCATGTATAGATTTCTCAAGATCGTTGTAGGAGGGCTTAGTCAGGGAAGTGATGGTGTTGGACAATACATGTGCTCTTAACACGTTTCAATCAGGAAAACAAAGTGATTTAAAACTGCATGATGTGGTTTCTTTGCATTTTAGGGCAGAGTAGCAGTAGGCACACATGTATGACTGT